AGACCTACCCCTACATGTATGTATAAGGACTCATCGGTGCGATACTGGAACGCAGAGAACAGGACCAAGGACCACTGTTCTCGAAGGCTGTTCTGCTCCCTGATGACCCTAGACACACAAGGCCCCGGCTTGCACCATTTCCTCCACCACAAGTTGATGTGATCCTAGCCAGGAGACTAGGCCGATTAGAGAAATCCATGTAATCCTCTGTAGTGAACATTTGGGATTGTCTGACTTGAGAACTGCTTTTTTTCGAGCAGAGACTAAGGGATCCAAATGGCGTCCTTCCGTCCATCCTCCGTGACTGTACACAAATTTGAATGAAGTCTAATGTGAAATCTTACCTGCAAAAATCAATTAGGGTTGCTAACTTTCCAACCCTGCATCTGTTAATAACCATACTTGATTGGTAGATGCCCTTTATTGGCCACCATGATATTCTGGAGTTGAAGGTCACATAAGTAGGTCAAAGGTCAAATGAGGTTCATTGTTGCATGATTGCATGCAAGACTCTTAATCGCCTCAATTTAATTTGTCCATGTGGCATGTTTTTAGGCTATCTTGAGGATTGGTTGGAACTTAACATTTTGGACTCATTTGGTTGCTAATGATTTTGTGGTCCGGAGGTGAAAGATTGCATGGCTTAGCATTACGAGCATGTATTCTTGATATGTCAGAGACCCTTTGACAAAATACCACCAAACTTGATACTAGAGTGTCCCTGGGGATCATGGGGATGTGGTTATCTATCAGTATTAAAAAAAAGTCACATAACGCATGATATACATGTACCAGAAATAAATTGTTATTGTTGCTAGATTAGCCACCATGCTTGGCACTTGTATATTGTATTACAATAAGAGGTTGGCAAGTTTACAAATGGAAGAAATGTAGGAATATAAAAGACAAATTGTGACATCAGTGTATAAAAGCTCTATGTGATTTATACAATTCATAATTTGTGATAAAATCAGTGCTTGCTCATGTGGAAATGGTGGATATTTCAATTTGTATCTATTTGGCAACCTATATTCCTTGAAGAAGTTACGGTAGTAATTATAAAATTTACAGCCAAGAGGTCAAACCATGAGTCAACAATGTGTTTGGTTTTAGTGACTGTGCATGTAACTGAGGTGACAGTCGATCATGAAAAAGACTATACTTCGGAACCTGTTGAAAATCAACATGGACAGAAGAAAGATTTGTAGAATATCTTATTGTAAATAGTCTTCATTTTTTGTTTAATGCAATCAATGTGACTAAAATAATGCAAGCGAAAAAGAGAAATGATCACAAGACAGCAAAACAGTTGGTTTCATGCATCATTTGAATCAATGAACGTGAATCAGCTCAACGCCAAAGTATTGCGGTTCAAGGTTATACCATCAAGAGATATGCTGCCTGTAACTACTTTGTAGTTTGAAAGGGTGTATAAAGGAATAAGGATACAGTTGGGCAGGCAAGTCTTTCTGTTGGTCTATTGTAAAAAACTGGGTCAAATTTTTTCCAATTTTTACGCAAATTGTAATAAAACTTGGTATACCGATTGACCCGAGGGTGTGCAAGACACATTTGTTGTGTCTGTCTGTTAAGGTACCTCCATGGTAACCAAGCTTTGCACAAAGAATACAATTTTGTTTTAATAATCTTGTGGAGCATATTCTTTCCAAGTTTTAGCAATTTTATAGTTTTGGTATCTTTGATGAGGCATTATAATAACAGTATAAAACTCAATGCATGTGCAGTGTGTAAAATAAGTATGTGAGCAAACTATTGGAAGTAGTTTGATCGATTCATATGAAACTCAGTACACACAACGCAGAATTGTCTTTTGTGTGCGTATAGGACATGACCAGTTTTAAAATGTCTGTGCTATTTTTTTGAAAAACCTTATGTTGGATGTTAATCACTTGAGGTGATATTCATAGTCGAGCATTAGGGAAGATGAAAGACATATATGTACCTAACTATACTTAATTTTGTGCTGAAACTGATATGATTCAGGATTTGAGATCGATATGGAGTATGTATACATGTATACTCGTACACATTAAGGAAAAGAATCACTCAGACAATTTTTAAAGCATTTATATATAAAGTAAGATGTGAAACTTAAAAGATAAAACCAGTTATGGTCATGCGACTGCATTGTGAAAGGATTGTTGTGGAATCGATCAGAAAAGGTTGATCATCTAGCATATAAGTCTTGGTGTGTACTGCAAGGTTCTAGAATCATTGAAATGATAAAAAAATTGGCCCAGTCTTGGTAAAGTTACAAGCACTGTACACAGAAAGATGTATATGGGACTACGCACAAGTGCGCGACATGCGTTATATCTATCAAGTCCAAATAGATATAATAATTTACCAAATATATCAATTAGTAGGCAGTTTCTCGGCAAAATTTGTATGATCACGTACTAGTCAAAACATTGTGTGCGGGCAAGCACTGAATCAAATGACCGGGGTAATAGTATATTTGTCAAGCGCGTAGAAACATTACTGTTATAGATACTTTTCTTTGGTAAACTTATCTACACATTGCCTATAGAGAATGTCAAGTTTTTATGAAAGACACAAGATAAGATGTATATAAATAAGCAGTAACTAATAAGTAACAAGACATGGTGGTATACAAATAAAGTATATTGCTCTTTCTTAATGAGGACGGTTAAAGTTGTCATAGCGATAGATGCTAAATAAAAATGTGCCTTTTTTAATACACATGATCTGTTTGTATGCAATGGTTGGAATCAACATCACGTTTAAATATTGCCTTCAGTACAGCAAGTATAATTTGTATTCATCTGAATAATGTTGTGTAAATTTAACTGTTAGTTATGGCCGAATAAAGCTTTCAATGTACACCATAAAAATATGTTATGTATCTTCATTTTAGCATTACTATAATTATATTAAAATCTTATGTCTTTACACATTTACAAGTTATCACGTACTGACGTAGGTCATGCAATACACAGGCACTGTAGAACACAACTTATTTACAAGAAGTTACAATCACTTTTTTTTTTAAACTTTACAATTGCATGCAGTACCAAAATAAGAATACTGAAAAACACTGCATTATGGACAAGTATGAATCAAGTAAGATGTTAAATTAATTCACTACTGTTATTCATTATAGTATACTGATACAACAATTTTTAATATTTTTTTTAATTTATTTCTTTTTATTTCTCCACTTTCCCTTTAGCCATGTACCTTCATGTTGTTATATATGTTAAAGGTGTCGCTCTGGACCTATAACATATGATAAGACAAAAAAATCCACCAGTTATTTCTGATTTCTATCAAATTTTTAGATTTTGTGTTGTTGTTGTTGTTTGGTATTATCGGCGTTTCATTCTTTTTTAGAATATTTACGCCTTTCACTTTATTTCTTTTTTTTCTTCTATTTTTGGTACTATTTGTCAATTCATATTCATCTCTTTTTTTGGGATAATATAATCTCAGATCTACTGGTCCATGAAAACCCCTCACCGCAATTGGCACCTTCCTGCCAGACCGGCGCGGTACATTGCGCAATCTTCTCGGCCATCATTGGCCTAGGCAACTCTGGTGCCGGTGAGAGGATTCTGGGGTAGATCTTTGGAGTCTCTTGTTTGGGGTTTACCGTCCTCAATCCGTCTTTACTCTTTCTTACCTTTTCTCTTCTAGTATTTTTCCATTTTGTAAAACCTTATTTTTCTATCAAAGTGGGTATCAACATCTTAGGGCATTTGGTTGTCGTGCGATATGTGCCAAAAAAAAAATGTGGATTTAGTCATTCCTTTTTGAATGAAACATGGATTTAGCTTCTTTTGGAATTGAATGGATTTAGCTCCTTTTGGAATGAAACTGTAATAATGTTGTTTACTTTCTTTTCGAAAGGTTATATTTATGTGTGATTTCACTATTACTATTTAAAAGGAAAGGTTTGCTGCTAAATTTGAATAAAATTTCAGTGACTTTATTGAGAAAATACGATTTATTTTTTATTTTTTTAGGTACAATAACATGTTTCATTCCAAAAGGAGCTAAATCCACGAAAATAAAAAATCTAAAAATTTAGTAAACATCAGAAAAGCCGAAGGGAAGATTTTTTCTTATCATTATTGGCAGATAATCAGGTCCATGCAGGGTGACACCTTTAACATATATAACAACATGAAGGTATACATGGCTAAAGGGAAAGTGGAGAAATAAAAAAGGCAATTTACTCAGAAGTACCCAAAGTGGATTTGGCTCCTTTTGGAATGAAACTCTTCACATATTATAAAAGGAAGACAAGTAATATAAAAGGAAAAACGAAGGCCCACGTCATTTACATAGAAGGTAGGTGGACAGATAACCTCGATGTTTTTAATCTAATTTCATCTGGGAGATCATTCCACAGCTTTGTTCCTACAAACGAAATACAAAATTGCCCTTGCGTTGTCTCACATATTGGTTGATAGATAGAGTAAGCCACTTTCTTTACACTGTAGAAGTAATCAACTGGGTCATACGACGTACAATACATACACATACACTACTACTAGGTCGAGCGTACTCGCACTACATACACATACAGTATTCGCATATCGCGCTCAAAAACAATAGCGCTACCAGTACCACAGACCATGCAATTATGTGCAGGCCTCGCATACCATAATGTGTACAATATAAATCAGTCAGCGCGCTAGTAAGACATGGTTCGGATATTACTTGCACGCCCATATCCGATCGTCGTCTTGGCGAAAATTCACGGTGTGCTGCCGCTTGACCGAGAGGTGGCGCTATACAATTACACTGAACACGCCTCGAAAGTAAAATTTTTGATAAATAAAATCATTTGCAGTCGAACAGGTTTTTTGCATATAAATTCACTCTAATGTAATATTTCGGATTTATATCTTCAATGATGCATTCTTAGACATTTATTGTATGTTTTTTATGTTTAGATCATAGTTTCGTTCGCTAATGTGAGTATTGACCAACACTCAACTATTCCTTTAAACTGGTTACCGATTTCCTAATTTTTTGTATAAAGCCGATCGGTTGAGCTCCGAATTAGCTGTTAAATCTTGGGAAAATAGAACTACGTGAAAAGGAAAGGTATAAGCAGCCAGCTTTCGAGGTGAGTACAGTGTTTGAATACACGATACTGAATTAAGGTGGAGGCAATTGTTGTTTTGATTTTAGTCGCTAGTCCGAGTCGTTAACTTTGACGTAGGCCTACACTGTACTACTAGTACTAGGCTTAGAGAAAATACACGTGTGCCTGGTGTAATGTGAGTGAATGACCGACCCAGCCTAGGCCTAGCGCACTGGCCTGGAACTTGGCTGGAAGACGCCCGGCCTCGGAAGAGGAAAAGCAATGCTGTATGGCCAGAGTGTCTATGTCTGCAGCACTCTTGTCTGCACCGCACCCAGGGCCATGACATGGGAGCAGTAATATAATAATTAGACAGAAAATTCTGTCTCTTTCGTTCATTATACATATTCCATTTCAGGGTCAAAATCTTGCAGCCGTATGGCGTAGACTCTAGATCTAGAAATCTAGTATTTGTGTCTTCTTCTTCTTCTTCCAGTGCAAGTACAGTCCTCTGGGTAGAGTATTTTCCTACTGTTGTGTAGTGCTGTGAACGAGCCTCCAAAAAAGAGTTCTCAAATGGTTTTAAATTGAGTAGGCCTAGTAAAAACTAAAAAGTTCATTGTGCAAGTAAAAATAACTCCTTCTCCAGCTAGTTTTGACGCAGAGTCACCCCAACCAGCTGCCTATTGTACTGTTCCAGAGAAGTAGATGGCACTGAGGAAGAAGGAGTTTTGATACCCGATGTTGTGTGCTAAAATTCTTCCATAGAGATTGCACGCATCCCTATGCAGTCTGCATTGCCCAATCATGCAAAATTGGTCAATTAAAAAAAGAATATCAAGATTCAATCACAAAGGATTACAGTTTGAAAATACCCTTCCCCCATTTTTCGGACCAGCTAATTAGGGAGGCGTGCGCTCCGCTCAGTCTAACCATGGTTACATCGCGTAACATCTGCACATAAATATGCATTAGGACCGCGTACGAATAAACCCGGAAGTCAATTACACGTTATATTGAATGAAGGTATGGCTAGCCGATCACGCACCAAACCGGGAAGTGAATTCACATTATAGTCGATGGCAATATCGCAGAGACAACGTTGGTCAAGTTGCGCATTCAGCTTAGCAACATGCGTATGCTATGCATACACATGCATAGTGCGCGATGGAGTTTGTTTGGCTTAATTTAGCAAAACAACATAACTCTGCGTGTACGTCTTTTTCCTGACAGAATTGGATGAATATTGCAATTTTTTGGAAGGGCTGTATCTTTTGAAAGAAAACGTCTGTGGGTCTTGAAATTTGAAATGTATTATTCTTATTACGTTTGTTTTTTAATTATTCAACCATAATGTTGAAAAACGATCCCAAATCAAAAACTAAAAAATCAATCAGACACCCTACTTAAGTGCCCCCCCCCCCCCAAAAAAAAACACCCACTCTTACTCAATTTCTCTTTTTCAGGCTTTTGCTGTTGCCATGGAACTTACATCTAAAGATTCACCAATTTTAACTGGGGATTCCCCTCAGCGACCTTTGACCTCAGAAGACGTACCAATCAGGAACCCCTCCCCTCCGCCAGAGGGAATTCTAACGGGAGAAGACAAATCTTTGCTGGAGGCTGACACCATTCAAAACACTATGTTTAGCAAGCACTGGGTGTTTTCTATCCTTATGAAGTTACTTCAGGTACGTGTGTAATAATAATGATAATAATTAAATGTTTGTCTATAGCGCATACTGAAGGCACAAGAGGAGTATACAGCAGCACTGAAGCATATACAGAAAACAATGAGATTCTTACAAAGAGAAAAATTACAACATTACGTATCCTTCACGACTCAAATCTTTTCTTGTCCCATAAGGATTAAGGACCCACATTTTTTGCTTTCCACCATCAACCAGGAATCAAAACGTGGTTCAGAATGGATCAAAGCCAATAAATTATCTCTCAATCTGCTAAAGACGAACTACCTGCTCTTCAGTAACATAATAAATGAACTTCCAGGCAATGTTGTTTTTTATTGTACCATTACTCAAAGAGTTTTAAATACTGAATTTCTGGGAATAACGATAGATGAAGTTTTCCTGGAAGGAGCACGTAGATGATGTTTGTTAAGTTATTTCAAGAAATATATATTATAGTTTTAGTAGAGGGTTCAAAAAGAATTTAATACAAAAATACATGTCTCCTACAGGTTGAACTTCTCACATCTCCCTGTTTCACACTCTCTCTCTCTCTCTCTCTCCCTCTCTCTCTCTCCCTTCTTCTAACTTCTGTTGTGTGCAGCTTTGTTTTTGTTTATGTTTTGTCCTGTCATGACTTTTTTTTGTCTTGTCCTTTCATGTTTTGTTTATCTTGTCCTGTTATGAAGTGTTTTATCATGTCTTGTCTTATCTTATTATGTCAGTTTCCTGTCCTTTGTATTTCCGTTTTGTCATTTGTTTCTTTTTGTATATTTTGATTATTAAGATACTTTAAAATGGTTTATGAAAATATGTTATTAATTATATCTATTTTAGTGTAATTATTAAGACACTTTAAAATGATTTATGAAAATAATGATCATATTATGTTTATTCTTGGGAACCTACAAGAACAAGCTACATGTATGCTTTCCAGTAGGTTCCTGTTTCATTTCATAATTTTGATCTTACTTTGTCAACTATTTTCTTTATTGTGCAAACAATTGTTATATCAATCAATCAATCAACTATTGATATGCTAATTTGAAAAGATAAGTAAAGTGTATATACTGCAGCATTGCTGCATCATGTCTGAACATGACTCGATTGTGCATTTGGGCAGATCATTACAAATATAGCAGAAGGCAGAATACTTGAAGGAATATCTACAGTTTTTTCCTTTTCCTTTACTTTTCTGTTCCTTCATCTCTTTCTTCTTTTTTTTAATTTCTTTTATCTTCACTGGTGAATGTCTTTTATATGTTGTCTATTTTACATCGTACTATTTACAAATGTATTAGATATTGCAGTTTTATTTATAAATATATTCAAGATTTGTCGGCTTTCAGCTGTGCCTTAGACTGTTTATCAAATAACCTTGTCAATTCAGTTAAAAATGAAGACTTTCTACCTTACTGTATTGGATCTACAGTTTGTCATTGCTTTTCATATTCGTTCCTTTTTTTACCATTCAATTCATGCAGCAAGTAGAGAAAGAGAAGAATTTACAGACAGAGGTTGATGCTGCAGAAGAGCATGATGGGATTGATATTGACGAAGAGCTGGAGAATGAACTTTGTCGTCTGTGGGATATGACTGCCAACGTGGTGAGTATCTTCATCTAATATTTCTTGAGGGTATAATTTGGTTTAATATGATTAACTCATTGACTAGCAGAGCCAGGTACATGTAATATTTGGAGCGCCTTGAGCACCTTGCTTGGTGGATATGTGCGCTATATAAATATCTGATATTTTTATTATTATTATGGAACCAGATGGCTCCTATAAGCATATGGGAATGAGAGAATTCAGTAGCCTATGTCTTAACTCATTTTGTGATTCTTTCTCTATTTTTTTGTTGTATTTACAGGAAGTGGCAAAATTCTTACAAGAGTGGAAGTCTCCAGACATATTCCTGAGCGTCATTTCAAAGACAAATGCCCCAAGAATTACAGTAAGACCTCCAGCCAATTTCAGTTCTCTTTTTACGATATTGATTGAGTGATCCGACCTTTGCTCCTGTGAAAGTCATTCCTGGGGAGTGTTTCACAAAGACTGAGATCGACTTTAAGCTGGACTCAACTATGGCAGTCTGTTCATGCCACTGGTTGCTCTCACCATTGGTCTCTCAATAGTGATCTTTAGATAATATTTTTTCCTTCAATAATGAACTATCAAAAAAGGTAAATTCTGTAGATTTGTGACCATGATTTGTACGTCCCTTCAGAAACCAGTGTCACTGTCAGGAATTGTCAGAGGAACTAATGGCATGAATGGCCTGCCATAGTCCAACTTAAAGTTGATCTTAGTCTTTGTGAAACACTCCCCTGGTCTTCATCAAAGTTACAGGGTATGTTAGAGGTTAGGTGTAGGGTAGGGTCATCTATAAATTTAGTCTAGCCCACACCACCTTGTCCGAAGACTTTAGTGCTAGGCTGGGATTTGAACCCTCGACCCTTTGATTGAGATTCAAGTGAATGAACCACTCTACCACGACACCTCCACACTATTATTAGGCCTATTATTATTCTTTTGCAGGAGATCTGTATGGGTGTGTTAGGCAACATGGCATGCCGTTCAGATATTAGGAGAGAATTCAGTAAGAACCAACAACTCATGTAAGTATATAATTTGGAATTTTTTCCTCAACATTCCATCCATGATTAATAGCTTGAGACATACACGTTCTACACTTTTTATATTTCCAAAGTAATTGGCGTCACCTGTCTCTTCCTGATATTACTAATTTGGGATATACAAGTGGACCACTACACTAGCATACCTGCCAACCCTTCCGAATAATCTGGAATATTCTGATTTTCTGGATTTTTAGGACCTCAAAATTTGGAATATTCATATTTTCAAAATTCTTATCTGATATTATGTATTAATTTGAACATAGCAACCATATATTTACCGGTATTTTTGATTCACTCGATTATCATGCAAATTCTGTAACCATTATAATCTGTAAGTTTGATTTTTTTTTTTTCTGTACAAGAACTCTAACTAACCTTGCAATAACATTGAGCCAATAAAAAGAACAAGTTTGGAGGCAGAATTTCTGTATTGGGATCAAAGTTATTTATTATTATGTTTTCTGTTTTGCCAGTGATCTTAGCTTTGGGCTAATGAGTGGCAGTGATGCCCCGACCATGGTTGAAGCGTCTCGTCTCATCTATACTTGCCTCAATGACGAAGAGAGCGCCCCAAGGTGGCTGGAAACGGTCAAGAAGGACGGTGATGTTCTGAGGAGTGTCACTTTTATCTTACAAAGCTCTACAAACAGTGAGTTTAAGTGTAGTGTGTTTTCTTTAAAATACTCTAAATACCATAAATCTCTGTGTATAAGACGCACCTTTTTTCCGCCGGGAAAATTCAAAAGTCTGGGGTGCGTGTTATAGACAGGCTTAGGATATTTTGAGTCCTCAAAATGCTACTTTTTAGTGGTTTTCAATAATCTCTGTGTCTCAACATAAACTTCATAATGCGAATGAAGAATAGGATCTACTATTTGAAGTTAACCTACATTCCTAATTTGAAGGGAAAAGATTTTTTTTTTTTTTTAAGTCTCAATTTTATTATGCCCCTTCACGTAGCACCCTGCCGGCCAAAGCTCTGCCGACCAAAACCAATTTTTAATTTTTGTTTTTGTCTTAAAAATAGGGGTGCGTGTAATACAAAGGTGCGTAGTATACACAGAGATTTACGGTACTTAATTTAGATAATTCCAAATTAGTTATGACTTAGCATACGTTAGGTTAGTATCTCAGTCACACCGCCTAACGGACTGCAAACTGACCAATATGTTTGTCATTCCGGGTTGTAACTCTTTGTTTGGCCTGGTGTCAGTTTCATTGGTGTGACCGAGGTATTACTGTCGATTCTGGTCCACAGGTGATTTGATCCATTATGTTGCTGACTTGCTGGACCAGTTACTGGACCTAGTTTAATGTTGATTGTTGCCATTTGCTCTGCAGGTGATCTGATCCACAATGTTACTGCCTTAGACCAATCATGTACCTAGTTTAATGTTCATTGTTGCCATTTGCTCTACAGGTGATCTGATCCACAATGTTACTGCCTCAGACCAGTACTGTACCTAGTTTAATGTTCATTGTTGCCATTTGGTCTACAGGTGATTTGATCCACAATGTTGCTGACTTGCTAGACCAGTTACTGGACCTAGACGATGGTCTACTCCAAGTCTGGTCCGGTCCTGTCCTCATCCAAGCCATTACTGAAGCACTCAATCAAATCAGGTATCTAGCTTTAAATGATCCTTTAAATAGCAACACCTAAGTTAAAATTATTACATTGACTTTACCGTATTGAGGTGGGGGGAGGTATTTTTATTTAGCTTTCATGACTATTGCCTATAGTATTATGTATCTTTTGATAGCAAATTTATGAAACTTCGACCAACAGATGGCACGCAGCGTAAAAAATTGTATTCTTGTCAAGAAATACCCCTCAGTCTATGAGAGAGTCTTTGGTTGAAAGAAATGTAAGATAATGACTATACCACATAGGGGCAATTGGTGGAAAATGCATGTAGCAATATATAAGGCCTTTAAAATGAAGGCTAATTCTGGGTATTGTCAACACGATATTGGGTAACATCCAAATGGTGACGAATACCCCATGAGAGCCCACTACTATGCGTCTTTAATTCATTAAATGCTCCCTCACCAAAGACTCTCCGAGAGACCAAGGGGTATTTCTTGATAGGCCTACGGGTGCACTGTGTGCAGACTTGTACACACATTAATGGTATTTCCACCAAGTCTGGTGACGACAATCTCCCTTTAAAGCCCCACCGCACTACTTATAGCTACTTGCGCCCTATATATAGCAACAATGGCTAATCGTTGCCTGTTGGTCCCCATGATTCCCTTTTTCTTACGTTAATTGAGAGCTGATTTGATGAGATAACCACCTGTCAATGACCTTGCAGGGAGGTCCAATCACCTGGCCAAACTAGTGCAGACGGGCTTTACGACTCGTATCAATATTGTCTTTTTCCCCTCAGTTCTGATCGAGTGAATACCCTGTCTCTTCTCCATCATTCTCTGCAAGTCATCTCAACAACAGACTCAGGAATAGATGGCCTAGGTGAGTGCAGCCTGCCCACCCCACACTATACAATTCTCCTGCAGAGACGCCAAATGTTCCGTTTTTGCCATATTTTTTTTTTCTTCATAAAGTTTTAAAATTGATGTTTTTCTTAATTTCCGATCATGGGCTTTGTAGAAAGGTGGTCACTAAAGCGGGTTTGTATATTATTACAGCATCATCATCATCATCATTATTATTATTATAAGAATACTAACATGCTGAATTTTAGGGCAATCAAGCCTTCTGGTCGGAACAATTAGAGCCGGATATTTTAATATTTTAATATTTTATTGTTGTTGTGGTTCTTATTATTATTTATTGTGAGTATTTTTTACTATTACTATTATTATTATAATTATAATTATTATTATATTCCTCATGTATAGTTGTTTGCATTGCGATTGTACAGAAAAAGGTATAGACAAGTACTATCTACCGATCTCAGGTCAAGATAGTACTTATTGTAAAGTAATTTTTTGCTGCTACCCCACTTGCCCACCCTTGCCCATTGAATACGCATAGCAAAGTAGGTTACGCGAAATGTCAAAGTCAATGTCAATGTCAAATGAGCGCGCATCAACTGTATTACATGTATGCATGTTGCGCTTTGTAAAATCTAGCTGAAGCTAAACTGTCTGCAGAATCAGTTCTTATTAGTATGTAAAATTCACTTTAAATAGACCTTATTGCCGATGTGGGATATAAAACAAATATTAACCTCCTTTACTTGGGCAATGGATACAAACTATCATCGCCTCGGTGATCTCGGGGCTTCGGTCTTTCCTCGCCGGCTCGGGAAGATAGTAGCCCCGAGATCACCTCTGCGATGATAGTTTGTACCATTACCCTCGTAGTCGATTAATATTTGCTTATTATATTATTACTACTTTCCCAGTGGAGCTGAGTGAGAAGGTTCACCCTCTTGTATCATCCTTCATCTGTGACGTGTTTGAGGATGGAGTGCTGTCCATGAGAGGAAGAGAGAACACCCTCGCCTCGGTCATCTCCGTTCTCAGCGTAATGGTGCTACGGTCTAGAGACGTTAGTAAACGGCTTGCACAAAAAGGTTAGTAAATATTTAGGATATGATCATGAACTATGAAGGACTACACACTTACTCTTAGGCCTAAAAAAAGAAAGATGTTGTATTGCCCTTTAGGTGCCAAAACATGGGTCGGTCGGTCGGAAATCTTTTCTTTTTTTTCTCCCTCTTTGGCCTGATATTTCTCACTTTTGAATGCTTTCATACATATTTTTTCTAAAAAACTGGGGGAAAAAAAATTCTAAAAAGCCGACCGTAGATTTCCAGATTTTCGGGTCGGTCGCAAAGGGCAATACAACATTTTTTTCTTTTAACGCCTTATGTAAGGGATCGATAGTTCCATTAATTCTGATCTTTTTTTCCTCGCTCAATCCCTCCTGGACTTTTCAGATTGAAAACTATGTCTTATATAAAGTTTACATGTGATCCTGTAAGTGAATGATGGCTCATTCTATGTTTTGTTGTCTCCCTGTCTCACGCTTTTATATCCCATGCTTTATAGAGAGTAGAACGATTAAACATCTCACAGAGATGCTGTATATCATCCACCGCAAAGAGGCGTCGCCGTCATCACGGAAACTGCCCACCAACCAGGACGCGCCCCCCGCCGCTCCAGCTCATCCAAACAACAATCACCGAGAGAGTGCATCATCGGATAAACAAGAACCACAGAAGAGAGATGGTGGGCGTGGTGATGGTATCTCGGGCGGAGGAGGTGATGGTTGTCATGGTGATAGGAGAAAGGAGGAGGAGGAGGAGAATCAGGAGAAGGTTTGGTTGACAGAGCTACTGAAGGATCAGCTGATTGATTTCTTCTGCTGTATCTTAGAAGTTGCTAAGAAGGTTAGTGTGCCATCGGACAAATCCAAACATGGGGGTGTTTCACAAAGATCCTTAAGTTGAACTTATCTCTATTATGGAAAGCCGTTGGCATCTATGACATTTTTTTGTACAAGTTATTTAAAAAAGCATAACATGTTGATTCAAATCATTCATATTTTCTATTATCAAGGATACATGTATTTCATGTTCTTGATGTGGAATTAATAAAAAGGTCTAAAATACTTGTATTTTTGTCTTTGAATATATATTTTTTAAGGCTACAAATGGCTCTCCATAATTTGTAAGTCCAACTTAACAATCTTTGTGAAACACCCCCATGTTTTCATAGCTGCCACCCAACCATTGCTATTTTCAACAGAGGAATGATTTTGCCCTACTTTGCAAAAGAGGCAGCAAGGGATAAATTCTTGGCTATCACCCTTTCCTGTTTGAAGAATATAACTCTGTACTGTTGTGATCTAAAGAATTCTATTGTTAATATATCTATATATATTGTTAATATTCGTTTTTAAAAGGATTTAGCAGTAAATAATTAACTATCTCGTTGGTTGAGAATGAAAAGGGCCCGAAGTCAATAGCTAATTTCACAATTCCTTTGCAAGTTTACTGACTTTTGCAAGACATTGCATAAAGAATGATTGCTTTATATCTACAGTATTTCATAGATTGTACTGATCGATTTTGATGATATTCAGTAAGTTTAAACAAGTAGGTTTAAAGATATGTCAATCCAGTATGAGTTTTTTTAATATTTATTTTTGCAACTTTTGTAGAATACTAAATGTAGTTTGCAAGCAAAATTTTGTAAAGCTTTTTTTTCTGTATGACTTGTTTTTAGATGCACATTCAGATTGTATTAATGTTTTATTCTCCCTCCTCTCCTTTCCCTTTGTTTTTTATCTTTTTCTCATCTCAGGATAAAGCACTCCAACAGAGACTGCATGCATGTGGGCCTAAGAGACTTCAAGCCATAGCCGACTGTCTTCCTGAAGATAGAAACGATCTCTCGGATCTGATGGGAAACATTCAAGGAAAATCATGAACTGTCGGACCTCAAGTGGGCATGAGCCATCAGGAACAGCTCACAAGTAATCCAGAGAACAAGCCTTTCAGTCCTACCAGACGACACTTTTGATATGGAACACTCATGGAGCATCAACCTTGTGAAGATTTACTCATCAAAACAGTTGTGGATGAAGTCTTCCATAACCTTGGTGTTTCAATCCTACTAGGCAACTCCTTTGATATGGAACACTTGTGAAGTATCAACTCTTGGAAGATTAACTCATCACAACAGTTGTGGCTAAAGTCTTCTATAAGCTTGGTGTCTTCCTTACTTCCAACGTCAGGTAGCATGTGTTAAGCAGCACCAGTAGTCACAAGCAGAGACTGCATGCATGTGGGACAAAGTGACTAAAAGCTGTAGCCAACTGTCTTCCTGAAGATAGAAACGATCTCTTAGATCTGATGGTAAACATTCAACAAACATAATGGAATGTCGGATGTCAGGCAGGCATGATTCCTCAGGGATGGTTCACCCATAATCCAGTTTTGGGCGATACAAAGTAATTACGACATTATATCCCAGGGTGCTATACTTATTTGGATTTGGATAGGGAATCCAGATCACTCTTCAGGGTATGCATGCACAATCCCTATTTAGGAATCCTGGGTGTCTAGACTTAGATTATGGGCGTCCAGGGGGTGTTTCACAAAAATTGCCATCAGTGACAAATGACAGTTTTTGTTATAAGCTACTGAAATCCTTGCTTGTCATTGGTTATCTGCAGATTTGTCAATGAATTTTGTCATTTGTCATTAAAAAAAGCCTTTGTGAAACGGGCGCCCATACGCTGTGGGCACCTGTTAGTGTCGCGTCCTGCTTATCCCATGCATCATGATCCTTCTTGACGGTACTACCTTCTGCTCGGGCAAGCTCTGCAGTATCAACTCGTACAGGATTGACTCATTATGCAGTCGTAGTTTGGCACCGACTCAATGGACCAGATACTACTTATTGGAAGCTTCCTCTATCCATACATGCATGCTCACGATGACCTGGGATAACTTCTTAAATCAAAATGGCTATACTTAGGGTGACCCTCTCAATTATGGAAAGCTACACTCATCCCTTTTTTTCCACACTGTGGGGTTGGACGTTTCATTTCTCTTATGGCCCTTCTCCAAGCCTTGGTCAGTTGACACGTTATCTCTGAACTGGTCTTCTATTAAAGATAAAGTTCAGTTCTGGGCCCTGCAAGTTTGCAGTCTCCTATCTCTTATGTCCATAGTTGTGATTGATATCATTCACAAATAAATGGCAATTGATGTCAACTCTTTGTAAGACGGGGCCCAGATTATGCAATTGCATTGTGAAAGAACTGGGAAAATGATTGGAAAAGGTTAATCATGTAGCACATAAATATCTGTGTATGAAACCAACAAAATGACGGAGAACTGGCCTTGTCTTGCCGAATAAAACTCACATGAATTGTAGGACTACACAATCATGTGGCAGGTATTTTCTACTTATCACTTTTCCCATAAATCAACCTCTTCAAGTGATAATTAAAATTACAAATGTTGTACTTAAAAAAACCCATGAGGTGGATTTTGTCATTTGCATTTGTATCAAATTGATATCTTTCAATTAATGGCAAATAATATTGAATTTTTTAATGATCTTTTGTTGATGTTCAAATACAATGTATATAAAGACATTCCTGCATGTGCATTGTTTAAACATGCATTTTGTAGAAAATATTTTTTGAATAAAATAACCTACAAAGAATCAGTTTGTTTCATATCTTTATTTAGTAGTGTAATAATCCCACAAGGATACATAAATGCATAACTTTATCTAGACATGAATTTCGATAACAATATAGAAGATGTATTACTACATGTACATGAATATCTGGTGGATGTACAGGGCACATGCTCTGGCGACAGTTGCTCTGGTCAATAGACACTATGAACATTCATATTCATATTATTCATATTCATATTTATTTCATTTCCAACAGAAAGGTAAACAAAGATTACATTTGATTTCATACATAATTCATTTTTTCAAGAAACTATACAAATAAACTTTGCACATAATAAAATTATTACAAGAATTTCTGAGGAAATGGGGGGGGGGGGGGGGGATCCACTAAAAAGCAGTGCTTGTAGGTTGTGGATCCCCCAGAAAAAAAAAAAAAAACGAAACGAACAAGGAGAAGGAAAAGGGAAAAGGGGGAAGGAAGAAGAAGAAGAAGAAGAAGCAGGACAAATCATGACCGGAAAAAGTAAGTTATAATGTTAATTTTGGGAAGGTAAGATCATAAGACCAAATAAATATTAAATTAATCGAGCAGATGATGAACAAAGAAAGAATACAAAATATACAGTTCCTCATTCTACCTTCAACAATTGCTGTGGTAGACAAAGGAACATCCCTTCACTGCTATTATGTAAAAATGTGTAGAACAGGTGAATATGCATTTGACACCTGTTCTACACATTTTTACATAATAGCAGTGAAGGGATGTTCCTTTGTCTACCATATCAATTGTTGAGGGTAGAATGAGGAACTGTATATTTTGTCCGTCATGTTCATAGTGTGAGTACACAAATCAAATTCTAAATTTCACCCTGGACCTAAAGGCTTGTCCAGATATGGCATGGCAAAACCACAGTAGTTTCTTTATAACGTAAAGTACAGTGCACCTTGCTTCGCATTGCTGTATCTTATAACATAGAGATCAGTGTATTTGCGGCGGTTTACTGCGCCAAATTTGAACGAGCCTTGAAGTTCTGGTAAATATAGCAAATCAATTCTCACAGATTCCAACAAAACTTACACTGAATGTTCAAGATTACAAATAAATGACATATGTCAAACAATTTTGGTAGAAAATGTTCAGTGGCTGAGTAATGAGCATAGAAAGATAAGGAAATTCAGGTAGGCCTGACACCATGTGCTTATAAACACAGGTCACTATGCTGTGCAAATGAGTGTTGTGGACTTTATCAAAGATGTTAGCCAGTAAGTATTTGTGCATTTATTTTTATTTCACTGGTGCAAACAACCAATCTACTGCAGGATAAATAAATTGGAATAAATTATGCGATTCCGATACCAGAGCTCAAGATTACCTTTAACATAATCTGAAACATAATTACAACTTTCAACCTAACCTTATACCTTTAACAAACAAAAATTTGATGTAATTATTATCAAGACAAGACTGAACGTAGCCATGTTCATACAATGGCAATTCTTTTCAGACCGAAAGAACAATGCGTAAGGGCTTTTCACCCACATTCATTGCTTCAGCCGAAACTTGGTACAAGAGGATTTTAACAATACTTTTTGAAAAGGCTGCCAGTCAATCATCTATGGCAGGAGAGTTATGAATAAGGTGTCACTAGACAGAATAAGGGTTATTTTTTTTAATGATTTGTAATGCAAGGCCACATAGGTTATAGATTTTAAATGGGAGTCAACTAAAGTTGGGTATACCCTTATTGAAAATATGAACTGTATATAGTTTAGGACATCATAAGAGCTACATGTACTTGCATTGCAGAATGAAATACCATATTCTTTCAATAAATTTATGTTTCAAGTTTAAAAAGAAGAAGAGCACAGATTCATGAATGTTTCTTGGAGGAACAGAGCAGGTATCTAAAATGCTTAATATGAAATCGCTTTTCAGTCATGTAAAAGGCATATAAGTGAAAGAGAGAGTTCTTATGCCAGAAGATCTGAACACTTTACACTCATTGAGAATGCTTATATCTAGAGCCATCTTAATACAGTCGTAATAAATGTGTAAGCCTACAACATGAAAGAGACAACTCTTTTGCAAAACACGAGTCAGGTAACCAAGATAGGCAAGTCCTTTTTTTTGTCAAATTATTATTTTTTAGTCAAAATAAAATCTTCTCTACAGGCATATATCGTACATTTCCTTGACCACACCGTGCAGATCAGGTATAACCATTTCCAGTGCACGGTCAATCAGCGTGTTTCTATTAGTTATACTGAATTATCCGGTTGAAGAAATAAGCGTATAATGCCAGGGAAGAGCAGTTAATATCTACGCGCATTACCAGGATAAAATACACCGCTCCGATCTAGCCAGAAAAAAGGCGGTGAAAAAGTTCATCGAACTCTGGCTAAACAGGTCACCGCAAGGTATTGTGGGACTGCTAGGTCAACCCGGGATTGTAGTGTCGCGCGTGTCGGGGTAAAATTTTCCGATCACGTGATCACTCCTATTTCCGGTTTCTCACCGGCATGAGCACTCAATCGGAACGGGGTGTGTTTCTATCTACGTTATCCGGTTAGCCTCCCCTGCATTATCCTTCTAAAAGAAGGATAATTTTGCCGGTGAACCCGTAAAAGCTCTCTCCGGCATTATCCGGATAATGCCGGAGAAAGTGTGTTTCTATTAGGAAAACTTTTTCCCTTACCGGCCATTAACCGGATAATTGTATACTGGTGTTAAATATGGTTATCATGAAGATAATCAAACGGGTAACTTTGCAAAGCCATCCCTCCATCAATTTTTTTGCAAAATTGCAGTAATGCAAAGAAGTCAACCAAAGTGTTGAATAAATATACTTCTAAAGGGCTTCGGTTTCTAAAGGATATGATGAGGATATGATGATGAAAAGCATACTGTAATGCACTCCAAATTTCTGTATTTTATATACCACAGAGCTCAGTAAATACTTGTAGGTCCTTTGTTGTGAGCAGTTGCCATTCATTTACACCTTTAAAAAAAAGTGGCAAACCTTTGGAAAAAACAAACAAAAAACAATGTTTTTTTTCTTGTAAGTGAATGGAAACAGCAAACAACAAAGGTCCTACAATACATGTACACACTGAGCTCTGTGTTATACGATACAGAAATGAGAAGCATACTATGCTTCACATCATCATGAAAAACCTTGGGCGGTTTAAATACTACGGTACATCTGAACGAGCCATATTGTTTCATTGAGTTCCCTCTGTGGCACCTTCCCCGGCCCCTTGGCAGACCTGTGTATTTTGGTTGAACTGTGCGTAGAGCTTTTCCTGTGCTTGGTATAGCTTGGATAGTTTCTTTAATTGCTTCCCGCTCATTGGTTTCCCCTCTGCATCGTGGGTCGGCAGGCCCTGTGGAGTAGAGGGGTATGCAAGATAAACTTGAGTTCTTGTCATGCAATTTTTTTTGTGGAAAAAAAAAAAGGCAGAGAATGGAAAGATTGGTCATGTATAATAATAATAACAATATTGGATTCTTATATAGTGCATGTATCAACCTTGCAAGGTCCTCAAGGCGCTCCAACATTACCCGGCTAAGCTAGGCTGCCGATTTCGACGCTCACAGCATTTTAAGGAATTCCTTCCTACCGGTACCCATGTAACACCTGGGTGGAGCGTGGCAAATGTAGATCACTGTCTTGCCATGTAGGTTTTGGCATATCATGGTTAATTATCAAAATGGTAAGAAAATGACCGAGTCTTGATAAAAGTATTGGCATAATCAGCTTTTCCTTCTCAAACTGGCACCAATTATTTGTATTCATAACTTTCAATTCTTAATGGTTATTGCAAAAATGTTCAATGATCCATTTCTCTAATTTCTCTGCTCCATTCAAACCAACTTAATATCAGGGAGGGCTTTCCCTTTAAGTGGAGAATCGTATGTGGACCCAAAGACTGAACTTACAGTACTCGCAAGTGCTGTAGTCAGTTATTTGTAATTGGTAACTCATTTTCCTTGATTGATGTCTTGGTAATTCTAACTTTAGTAACAGTGGCAACTTTGGTAAATGTACACAGAGTATAAAGATATCTATCTGTCCCATCCCTTTTCTAAACGAGAGAGAGGGGAGAGAGATAGGGGGAGAGAGAAAGAGGGGAGAGAGAAAGAGGGGAGAGAGAAAGAGAGGGAGAGAGAGAAAGAGAGAAAGGTGAGAGAGAAAGGAGAGAGGGAGAAGAGAGAAAGAGAGAGGAGGGAGGGAGGGGGAGAGGAAGGAGAGAGAGAAAGGAGAGAGAGAGAGAAGAGGAGGGGGGGGGGAGCATCACCTACCCTGTCATCAAACGCTGAATATTTGTTGGTCTCTTTCCTAAACATCTCTTGAGGTGGAATTCTTCCTTGTGCTTCTTTGGCTGCTTGCTTTTCTTGCTCCCTCTTCTTTGCCTCTTCCTTCTTTTTCCTCTTCTCCTCCGCTTGCTGGGTGGAAAAGAAAGCAATAGCCGATAGCACTTTTATTAGGCAGTAGTCTTTGCTATGGTTACCATTATCATCATCCAAATAGTTATCATCATCATTGTCATTATAAGAGTTTATGTACCATCAGTAATCATCATCGCCATCATCATCAATTCACCACGATCATTATTATCATATGTTAACCAAAATGCCCTTACAACCAAATTATCATCATGTTTACCATTGTCAGTGTAACCAGGGAGGTGAGACTTTAAATGGAGATTCCGTCTCGAAAGAATTTCCCGAGGGAAAGATATTCAAGATTAACTTGGCTTAACAACAAGTAATGTAACCCTCTTCAGCCATCAAATCCATCAACAGCCGCCCTTATCAGACCACAGATGCCCTCTGGCGATCCAAATGTTACGAAGTGTTACGCAACGCAGCCTGCTTCCCTAAGCTCTCCAAACACTTGGTCGTAAAAAAAAGGCTTTGAAGCCATGCGAGTCACCGAGAAAATGACGTCATACTCATTGAAGATGTATATAGCTATAACAGACAAAAATACAAAATCGACAACTTATGGCACAAGGCAACCTTCTATTGGTTATCAAATGCTTTCGCTGTGCTCGGATAACTCTTCTGAAGACGTAGCCATCTGAACCAGCGAAATCGACCAAGGAAATCGTGAGTTAGAGTGAATGCAAGTTTCTCATCATCATCACGTTCTCTACTAATTATTGACATTTTCCGAAAGTTTCCGAAATTTTTACATAGCTAGGAAGGTAGTCCATAAGTTTATCTCTTAAAATAACTAAATGAAACTGTGTTATATATTTGCGCATTTGGTTTAATGAGGGTTAGAAGTTGTCAATTCATCACCACTTTTCACCCCGAGTACGGGCGGGCGACGCGAAAGCCGCCGTGCTCGCTGGGCTGTACATGCTGGATGTTGTTGGTGGAAACACACATAGCTGCATTACTACCCTGGCCGTGTATTCAAAGTTGTGCTATTGATTCTCGACATTTCAAACACCACTGTACAAAACTCAACTGATTTCATTCAAAGGCAGTACTATAGTGACGATTGATGACACCTAAAGAGCATTAAAATACAATTTGTTCAACTTTCTGATGTTAGAAAGAATAATTTAAAAATTAAAATTGTGAGTCTACTGTCAAACTTGCCGATCAACCGCATCGGGATGATTATGTGCATTTTGTACTGTATGTTGTGAGTGTATTGACTATTCATGTATTCAAAAGCTGCCTATTTACATGGAGCGGCCTACGCATTCACGATGAAACCATTTAACCGTACATTCTGGTAGCTGCAACGAATAAGATTTTCCGTTGATGGAATTTCACACGTGCATAACTTGTATTGGTCTCCAACTTCCCATACACCAGGCTCAAGAATCAAATCTTCCTCAAAATCAGTCAGAAAGTCTAATCGTCGCCTACCAAATACTCTTCGCTACTGTACGCCGCCATTTTTGTCGATAGCAGCCGATGTGTATTTCCAACAATGCATTTCGCGAGCCCTATGTCACTCAGTTTCGGGAGTGAGATTTACGAGCTTTGCGGTCCGGTTGGGGGATTAATGATAGGGGGAAAAAAAGACTCTCGGTGCAACGGACTGCTTCAAAGGGCCCTCTTAGATGCGGAATCCATTTAACTCACATGCCCTGGTGTAACCATTATCATTATGAACATCATCATCGACAGCAGCATCATCAATTTCATCATCAATTGTCATCAGCAGCAGCATCATCAATTTCTTCATCATCATCATCATTACCATCATTATCATCATCATCATCATCAATCATCATCATCATTATCAATCATCAGTATCATCATCATCAGCAGCAGCAGTATCATCAATTTCATCACCATCATCATTACCATCATCATTACCATCATCATCATCATTATCATCATCATAATTATCAAGTCATCATCATCCTATTCTTCTCTTCTTTTTCTTCTTATCGGGTCACTACACAAGTCCCGTCCAGTACTCCACAGGCTCTGGCACAGCAGTTCACGGCTTCCAGGTCATCTTGTGTGCATGGCTCTGGCAGGAGTGCTTCCAGGTCATCTTGGATGCATGGCTCCAGCAGGAGTGTTTCCAGGTCATCTTGGGTGCATGGCTCTGGCAGGAGTGGACAGACTAGCAGTCATCACCATCATCACTATTTATAACATTATGTCACTATCACCAAGTACCACCAGCACCACTCAATTCATCAGTGTACCCATCACAATCGCTCCACACTAATCACCATGACTATTACTATCACCATCACCAGTACCACCACCATCAAAACCACCAACACCAGCACCATCACCAGTACAAGCACCATCAAAACCACCAGTACCAACACCATCACCAGTACCAACACTATCAAAACCACCAGTACCAACACCAACACCATCAAAACTACCAGTAGCAAGTAGCAACACCATCAAAACCACCAGTACCAACACCATCACCAGTACCACCATCATCAAAACCACCAGTACCAACACCATCACCAGTACAATCACCATCAAAATCACCAGTACCAACACCATCACCAGTACCGACACCATCACCAGTACCACCACCATCAACACCACCACTACCACAATTACCACTTTCACCACATTCCACAACCACACCACACCAAACTTTTTTAGTTGCCACCATCCTAAACCCACCTGTTTGGCTAATTCTCTTTCTTTCATGAGGACGTCCCTACCGACCAGCTTGACGACTGAGTTCTCTCCTTCTCTATCCTCCAACCTCACACCCAGGTCAGGCAAGACTTCGTCTCTCAAGGCATCACACAGCTGCAGAATCTCAGTGGCTAAAAAAAAAGAAGGTTTATTGATGTTTGATCTACAAGTACTACATCTACTACTGCCCATTTAGTATAATTTCCAGTCAGTCTAATTCCCAGTTTGTTTAATGCTCATTTTGTGTACTACCCATATGGTCTATATTTAATCATAAATAATAATAATAATCAAATGATTATTAGACCTTGTGGATGGTAGACGGAATTGGCATTAGATAAACTCGGAACTATAGCAACTGGTTAGTAGACTAAGTGAACTATATACCAAATGGGTAGTAGACTAATTAGACATTAAACCAAATGGAAATTAGACCAAATGACTATTAGGCTAAATGGCTATTCGACAAAGTGATAAGTAGACAAAATGGTTATTAGACCGTGTGGATAGTAGAAGAACTGGTTCCAATTGTTAAATCACCCAAAGAAAACACTGGGCATTGTTTCACGAAACCGTCATAAGTACAAGTTCACAGACATCCCATTGAAATGTGTATTAGTTACAACACATAAATTTCAATGGGATGTTGGTGAATTTGTACTTACGACAGTTTTCTGAAACGCTGCCCAGGTGTACAAGAATGAGGTGTGGGTTGGGGATGCCATTTGAGCAGATAACTAAAGCAACAGAAGACATAAAGCTTTGGAGAACATGCGTCTCAAGGTCCACTTCATTGCTGCCCCAACAGCCTCCCAGCTAAGAGACATGGAGTGATACCTTGCGTAGATTGTTTTCAAAGACATGTAAGTTTATTAGAAAAAATAAGCAATACAAAAAATGTAATTGTTGCCAATTTGACAAAGGGAAGGTGATCACTTCAGCCCCTTTAAAAAAATATTAATGGATCCAAAAAATATATAGATATATTGTGTAGATACATGCATGTATGTGAATAGATTCATGATGTGGCACTTAAAACTAAGAACTAGTCAATACATGTAGGTTGTCATTTTGACTCAAGGAATATCAAGTCCCTTAAATTGGCAACACATTTTGATAGCTTCAGCAATACTGCTGGTATTCGTACTAAATTGGCAGCAACCTTTCAACATAGTTCACAATCATGCATACTATTTTCAGAGACATTAATCTTTATTACAGAACAAAGAGGCAACCAAAGAAAAATATAATTGTTGCCAATTTGAAAAAGAAAAGGTGGGAGGGTCAATTGAGCCCTTTAAAAAAAGTTGTCATGAATGGGTAAAAAGGGAATAGTGTTTTGTTTCTCACCTTGGAGTATTCTAGCCTTCTGTCTGATGGTCTGTCTGAATTCAGCCAAGACTTTGAGGTACGGTAAAACCGTCTGCTCAACCTGAAATAAGAATAATCTTAATAATAATAATGTACATACCTTTAAAGCCCATCTGTACTAGTTTACAGAAGGGATTAGTCCACCCTGCAAGGTCACTTACAGGGGGTAAGTAACCACCTCATCAGATCATGACTCATGACCATATTATCGAATCAGCTCTCACTAATAACATAACCAAAAGAGGATCATGGGGGACTAATGGTCACTGAATACGCATTGTTTGCTGTATAGAGGGCGCAAGTAGCTACAAGTAGTGCAGTGGGGCTTTAAATGAGTAAAAGATATTTGATATTTGAATTTTCATCCATTTATATAACTGTATTATAGTTTTTTTGTAATTAGCTTTAGTACATGTAACATATCAAATTTGTTTGTTAGTTTTATGTACCCAAACAGTGTTTTTCATAAGTTCGGAGGTACCAGACTCGATTAGCATTCATGATATTTTCTGGTTCCTTTTATCCTTTTTTTTAATTGTATAAAAGTATGTATACCTATTATGTGTTTATTATTGGATACAAAATTTAGATAGTAGAGGGGCTTGGTGTTAACCTATCTGGCGAAGGCTACTTACATTACCGCTTTCTGATGCCCCTCCAACAGGGAATCCTAGAGGCTCCTCTCCCTCGATAGCTCCAAAGATCTAAAAACACAAAGTGAAGAAAATCTTATTTGGTACATGCACCTCTCAGTTCTTTGTTTGGAAGGTTTCATGTTCATGAGCAGAAGCTTCATCATGATGGAATCCCTGGTAATTTTTCACATGCCAAAAATAAAACGATTTGGCTATTTTTCTCTACATTTTTGTTGGTATTTCCTAGAAATCTAAACTATTTTGCCTGTTTTCTATTTTTTTACCATGAAGGAATAAAAGGGAAACAAATTATCTTTGTTGCCAATTTGAAGAACCAAATGTGATCAATTTAGGCCTAAAAATAAATCTAGTCCTGAAATTAAGCGATACCTTGAACATATTGGTGATGTATTTAGGGATAGATCCAAGCAAGAAAGCATTAGGGCTCTCCTTCGCCCCTTTCCGGTCCTAGATGTACACATTGCACTGGGTGGATTTAAAATCCTTGATTTGGCAACACATTGAGAGATTAAAAAAAAAAATTCTTTTAAATTTTCTTTTCTCGACTTGTTGCCAACATTCTCGCTCATGTATATTGTTTTCAGAGACATAGCGTTTTATTTTCACAGTGACGGAATAAAAGGACAACAAATATCATTGTTGCCATTTTGAAGAACCATATGTGATCAATCTAGTCCTGAAAGCGTTACCTTGAACATCTTAGTGATGTATTTAGCAATGGATCCAAGCAAGAAAGCATTAGGGCTATCCTTAGCCCCTCTCCGATCCCATATGTACACATTGCACTGGGTGGATTTGATATCTTTAAATTTGCAACACATTAACAGATTCAAAATCTTTTTTAAAAATAAAAACAAAACAAATCTCTTTTTTTCGACTTGTTGCCAACATTCTCGCTCATGTACTGGTATATGTTTTCATAGCCAGAACATTTTATTTAAACAGTGAAGGAATAAAAGGGAAAAAAAATATAATTGTTGCCATTTATTAAAATCAAGTCCTGAAAGCGTTTACCTTGAACATCTTGGTGATGTACTTAGCTATGGATCCAAGCAAGAAAGCATTAGGACTATCCTTAGCCCCTCTCCTCTCCTGTATGTACACATTGCACTGGTTAACCACAGCACGGATCGCATCCAGAGCAGACTTGGTGTCTATTGAGTCACACAGGGTGCTGTGTACTTTCTCCTGGCACTCCAGGTATCTTAACAACAACAAAAAAGTAAACAGTCATTGTTACACAAAACCCCTTGGCCCGAATTCACAAAGGAGGTTTAAATTTAACCCATGGTTTAAACCCTCATTTACCTAACCCATGGTTTAAAATAAGCGCAAATAAGTAAGCGAGACACAAGTCAGAGGTCCAATATTAGACACGCGCAAGGCCAAAAAAGCCTCAATTTGCGCTTATTTTAAACCATGGGTTAAATTTAAACCTCCTTTGTGAATTCGGGCCCTTGTGTTAGAGCCACATCCTTGGAAGATCTTTTGACAATAAGTTGAAGTATCGGTTGGTTCATTTGTTTGTTTTGCCCGACTGCTAAGAAAGCATGGGTGTATGTGCTCTCTGATTAATAATGCCTATTAAAAAAAGGCTTGCATGCATTTCGTTTCCTCTTTTTCTTTTTCTTCTTCTATCTAGTCCTTTTATATCAATTTCTCTCATGAATTTAATTTCATATTTACCAATTTATATCATACAATTTGCATGTATTTTATATGTTACATTTTTATTTATCAATTTAAGATGTATCAGCTTTGAGCTGTGACTTGGATTTCTTATCATTAAACCTTGTCAATTCAATTTAATAGATAAACTTCACTTACTGCTTGTTGAGCCTTATCTCAAGAGTTGTCCATTTGTGGAATGCTTCACAGCCCTCCCGGGGTGAATTATGGATGATATCCTTGACATTTAGAAAGAATTCCTACACAAACAAAATATTAATAATAATAATAATAATATTATTAAGACCAGCTAAGAGATGGACAGACTGCATCAAGGCGGACTGCAACAACAGACAAGTTGACTCCCTGACTAAAGCCACCAGGCTAACAAAAGACAGGAAGATGTGGCAAGCCGTTGTGAAACAGAAGCCATCATACATCCCAGTGATGGTGTGCACGGCTTAAGTCAAGTAAGTCAATAATAATGTTGGGTTCTTGTATAGCATTTATATCTGTCATACTTGACACTCCTGGCGCTCTCGATTAACAAAATAAATTATGAAATAATCTCTTTTTCACCCTTTCACAACAATTCTTCTACATTTTGTGGTTAGGGTTCATAATTTTTGATCCAGAGCCCCCCCCCCCCCCCCCCCCCCCAAAAAAAAAAAAAATGTATAACCAGATGAATGAATACAAAGGGGAGAAAATAACATATGTATCTATTTTGGTTTCATGTCTATACTGCATTTTGTTGCTAGGGATTTTTGAAAGGAAGATAAGCTTTAAAATAAATTTCAAATTTCAAGGCTCAAAATCACTGTACTGTTATAGTTTGTATATTGACGATTCATGTGCATACCATTATTTTTTACACTACTCGGTATCTGTATTGTACATGTTTTCTAGACATGTTCTACAATGTACATTTCTTTTTTCATGGAGACAAAATACATGGCCACTATAAACAGGTGGTCTTTACAGAGAGGTGGCCACCAAGACAGGTTGACTATAGATAACAAGCTTACATTAATCATCTTCTCGTACTGCACAGCACACTCCATGGTAGCTGTTGAGTAGTCCAGCGTATCCTTCCATGAGTGAAGCAGAAAGACCAGCCTTATCTGCCTGGAGGAGTATGTCTCAAGAGCCTGCTTGATGGTGATGAAGTTCTTGAGTGATTTGGACATCTTACAACCCTGGATGGTCAAGTGGCCGGAATGGAGGAAGTAGCGTACCCAGTCGTCGTTGCCGTAGTGAGCCTAAATGAGAAGAAAGATTTCTTTATTTTGTAATCGTGATCTTTATTAGATTCCATTCAACATAAATAATATTCCATTTGCATATGTGAATTATACAATGATTATACAGAAAGATAAATAAGTAAATAAATTTTAAGCACTGATGCTTTAGTCAATTAATACATCAATACAAAATAAAATTTGATATTAATAATAATATTATTCAATAACTTATTTGTTATGTTATTTCTACAGTATATGAAAACATATTTCCTTTCCAATCATTGTTTTTCTCACTGCATTACATTTTCTATCATACTATTGTTAGTTTTAATTCATTGATGTATTTGTTTTGTAAAGCGCTTTGATAAGTTGTAAATTGGATATAGCGCTATAAAAGAAACAATTTATCAAGCTGTTTAGTCTAGATTTTTTTTTTAAGAGACAAACATTCCACCACATTTCAGTGAAAATCACTATTTAATCCCCTTTGTGAGTGCGTCAAGGGGTACTGTCCGTGTACTGGTAAGGTTGACAAATGTCAGATTTATCAAAGAATTCTCCATACTAGACGCTTATTTCCGTCTATATACCATAATGCTTCAGCATAAGGCTTCTTCAAAATGGCACCAATAAATGAAGTCATTGCCACATCGGATCTAAAAAAAAAGGAGCTACATATAAAGTAAAGCCCATGTAGTCATCAAAATCAGTACAAATTGGCAGCTGTGATCCTACCTCTGCTTGTGCGAGTTCGTTGTCATGGTGAGGAAACTTAAGGTCTGCCCCTCCAGTGTGGATGTCCATGGACTCTCCCAGGATGCTACTAGCCATGGCAGAACATTCTATATGCCAACCTGGTCTCCCCTGAGAGAGGGAAAGAGAAAGAGAGAGAGGGGGGATAGGGAGAGAGAGAGAGAGAGAGAGAGAGGGGGGATAGGGAGAGAGAGAGAGATACAGACAGGTATACAGAGAGGGGGGAGAGAGAGAGGGTTGAGAGAGAGAGAGAGAGAGGGGGGAGGAGGAGAAGAGAAAGAGAGAGAGAGAGAGAGAGGGTAGGGAAGAGAGAGAGGGGGGAGGAGGAGGAGAAGAGAAAGAGAGAGAGAGAGAGAGAGAGAGAGAGGGTAGGGAAGAGAGAGAGGGGGTAGGGAAGAGAGAGAGAGGGTAGGGAAGAGAGAGAGAGGGGATTATATACACAAAACAACTCTATAATGATTCTTTTTTTCTTCTTATTATAATTGTTTAAAGTGAAATGCGCTTCACATTTTAATACAGTCAAACCTATCCCATTGGCCACCTCTCTACAAAGGCCACCTGTTTGTAATGGTAATGTATTTTGGTCTCCCTTGAGAAAGTGCATTGTAGAACCTGTGTAGGAAGGTCACCTGTATACAGTGGCCATATTTTCTGTTCCCTCAGGTGACCTTAATAGACAGGTTTGACTGTACATAGATCAGAGAGCACTATCTTACTTCGCCTTCAGCTTGACAAGAAAGTAGCCAAGATCACCGCTGTGATGATAATTCATCCTATTGCCAGAGTATTCAGTAATTATCCGCTTACTATTATTAAAACGAGTTTGAAATCTGGGACGGTTTCTCCTCAAGTCGTTCTTTCTAATTCTTAGCCCTTCTTACCATTCCCCAAGGCGACTCCCACTCCGGTTCACCAGGTTTGGAGTTCTTCCACAGCGCAAAATCATTGGCTGACTGTTTCTCCTGCAGCTGGTCTGGGGAGATGCTAAGATCACCCTCCCCTTCAGCCAGGGCTGCCTGGTCTCCATACGCCTCAGGGACCAGCTTGGCGTAGTGGTGGCTATCATCGTTGTCAAATTTGGAAGTCGTGAAGTAGACAGAGCCGTTGGATTCGTACCTGACAGGGAAAAAAATAATATTTATTTTTCGGGGGTTACTTTTCAACCTTGCCTGCATGAAAATAATGATCTAAAATTTGTTTGGCATTGAACTTTATGCAAATTTTTTTGGGCTCTTTTCTGATTTTCGGGGGGTCTTTTGGGCATTTTGGGAGCTATTTCGCCCTGAGCCCCCCGTGTATTTTTTTCACTGGTATCTGGATGTGGATTGAAGGTTTCCTGATGGTGTAAATCACAAGAATGAACAGGGAGCCAATAAATAAGTGGCTGCTGATAATAGCAGAAAATGCCAAACTTTGATTTCATGCACCGCTTACTGAGGAATCAAGAATGCGCCGAACGATACTGTTCATTCTTGGTTCACAGTTCTCAGCTGAGCGAGAAACGTCACTAATTTACGCATGTTGGAAGCTGCGTATATTCGGCTTACTGACTCTTTCCTGTGATGACAGAAAGAGTTTGTTTTTCTCAAATTATTTTATCAGGAAAATGGTGGCACAAGGAAGACAAAGAAAACTACCCCCCTCCCCCTGCCATAATCTCAAATATGTAAGGATAAATACATGTTATGTACTCACCCAAAGCCTCTGTCAATGATTTTCTGGACGTAGTCGATGACTTCTGGAACGTATTCACTGACCCTCGTCAAGACATCAGCAGGTAAGACCTGTAAGAAGGAGTAGAAGAACAGAGATGGACATGAAGGGCTGAAGTGGCATATTTCTATCACAAATTTGTTTTCAGTTTCATGATAGTCAATCAAATTTAACGGTTTCAGTAGCTCTTGTTGGAATGCTCCCCAGGGAGTGGAGAAAGTGCATACAATGTGTGCGGGCAAGCCAGAATCCGATGACCGGGGGTAATAATGTAAAGTGCTTAGAAACTCGGACATTCCCGACGTATTAAGCGCTATATAAGCAATAATATTATTATTATTATTATTATAACAGCTTTTTCAACTTGGTATTGATAACAGGTTTTATAAGAACTTTAAAACATCCAAGGCATCCATACAAATGTGAAAATTCTGCCTTAAGTGCTTGTTACACAGGTACTACAGTAACACGACTTCTAAATTGATGCTCAATGATGTGGATTGATCTGGTTCAAACTGGATTGAAATGGATCAAACTGGTATAAAGGTGTAAGTACATACAAGTTTATACATTCAAGACAAATGTGAAAATTTCCAGTGTTTGGACAAAGATACAAACATTCACAACGTGACACATCATGATCTTTAACCTAACCTACATTTACTCTGCAATGTGAATGGATCATGATCAGTCTGGAGTAAACTGGACTGAACTGGAATGAATTTGTTTGAACACTTACATTGAAGGCACTCACATCACAAAGACACAATATGATCTCTATAATCAAATCAGCAATGATCAGGCCCCTGTTTCATAAAACATGTTATCAATGTTATTAGAGCATTCTGGATCAAATGATAATGCAAATATATCACTATAAAAAGGGGACACTGTTCTGCTATCGGTTACACTGGACTGAACTGGAATCCGCAAAATGAACTGTGTATGTGTACTTACGTTTAAGGCATTCATATCACTGTGAAACTCTGCCTCCCAATGCTGGGGTAATACTGAAAAGATGGATTTGTCGGACACATCACAGCCTTTCTGGGCATCAAGCATTTCCGCTAGAGGGTCTTTAGCTTCAGTTAGTAAGACCTGATAAAATAATTTGAGAAAAACAAATAATAGTAGTCACTTTTGTATAGTGCACAATACAACATTTATAAGCACTTTAAATGGTATTATTATTATTAACCCGGTCATGGAATTAAATTGCTAAACGGAACATGATAGTGCACATGCTCCGCTCCCTGGTGAGTATTCCGACAAGTACACACATGCTGATCCAACCACAAACATTGCATCCTTCCGGGTACCCATTTAACACCTGTGTGGAGATTGGCAAATGTAGATCAATGTCTTGCCAAAGGACATTGGTGCTACTGAGGGACTCGAACCGCAAATCAATTGATGCACAAAATTCTTATATTTTGATGATTGTGATACTCGGTAATGAGTTCATGATCCATGGAAATAAACAGTAATTATTGAAAACTGGTAGTGCTCGTGGCCTTACGTGTATCTAACGATGCGCAAATTCGTCCTTGAAACCTTGATCCATGAAAATATCTTTAAAGATATAGACCGGTTCAAGGGTTTTAGGTGCATAATATCCATTCAATATTGTTTAAATATTGCCTTCAGATGTTTACATGGCGATACTTCAAAATAAATTCGCAAAAAAGCAGAAATATATCCAGGCCGGTATTTACCAAATATATATCAATAAGTAGCCGGTTTCCCTGCAAAATTTGTATCATCACGTATTAGTTAAAACATATTCTTTCACATGATTAGTAATAAGAGCTTCCATTTCATTTTTTGAGATGGGGGCGTTTCCAAAACTGGTTGATACCTTTAAGCGAAAATATTGGCTAACACAATATTACCTGTTTGAGTTCTTCGCTCTTTGCTGCCTCACATTTCGCAAGTGCTTCTCTGACTTTGTTGATGATCTTCATCAGCATATCCTTCTTATCTGCACTAGCTTCTTTATTCATCTTGGCCTGGTATGGCTGAGCAAAGTAAAGATAAAAACAAAAAGAGATGTAAATTGTCTGTTCAGAGGGAATAAGGTGTTAACTCTTTATATGCCATCCAAGCAATCCCCCTGTACCATATTGCATTCATCAAGAGATAGATATATATATATATATATATATATATACCAAAGGCTTCCACGTTATTTAACCGATTCTGGTAACTGTTAGATTAATGCGTTCACAAGCAATTTATAGGCATACATAATGAGCCCCATGACCCTAAAATCTTCTCAGTCCATTGGCTCTGCAAGCTACATAGATGACCCAAGGTTGGCGGTAATCCATTGATCGGTTCTTGAGATAACCAATCACAAGGTATTTTGCATACATAGTGAGTTCTGTGACCTTTGACCTTTTACCTTGTGACTCCAAAATCTGATCAATTCATTAGCTCTGCAAGATACATACATGACCTAGGTTTAGGGGTACTCCATCAATTGGTTCTTGGGATAACGCGATCACGAGAACAGGACGTACGAATGGATGGACAACCAGAAAACATAATGCCTCCTGCTACTTTGTAGCGGAGGCATAACAACTGTCATAAAATTTAAGGGAAACACAAAAGTGGTCTTTGTAGATAGGTTCCTTTAGTACAATTTTCAAGAGAAACCAAAAATGTGGTCTTTGTAGACAGGTGGTCACTAAGCAGGTTTGACTGTACTGTGTAGGCACCTTGAACATCCCCTGGCATGGGTATAAGCACATTGTAAATGCAGATATCATTAATATTTTATTCTACGAAAGTTGTCTACAAAACGTGCTTACTTCAAGCGCTTGTCTGACATCGGCCAATACTTGCTCGACGCTGGTTGTGTTGCTCAGGTACTGATCGTAGAGGTAGTTGGTCCGAGCACGTTTGATTATCTTATCATCTACGTCTGTGATATTCATGACATAGGTCACGTCATAATTGAAGTATTTGGTCATCACTCGGCGTAGGATATCAAATGATATGTACGATCTGAAAGAGAATTCAAGGAAAATTTTTGTATATATATATATTTATTTATTCATATAATAAAGCATACAGGAAATCATTGAAGACTCAAAAATAATAATAATAATAATAATAATAATAATAATAGCCTAATAGTCCACTCCAAATTTTATTAAACCGAAACGGAAATTCTTTTTGCCCAATTGATCGTGAGCCCGGCAGCCACTGAGCAGCGCTAGATTGACGTTGCTCTATCCCTTATTGTTGAATGCCAAACAAGGTAGCAATAACTAGCAACAACTCCCATCTTTTAACGTCTTTTGGTATGACGCGGCCGGGGTTCGAACCCACGACCTCCCGGTTGTGAGGCGGACGCTCTACTGACTGAGCCAACACTCCGGTTGCCAGAAATGGAGAAAGGAATTAGAAAAGTACAAGAGCTCTGCACCTAACTGCCAACTGAAAGAATAATTACAACTACATTTTCAATCATTTGAACAGTAAGAGTAATGACTGATGTACCACAATTCAAAGTGGGCATAATCAGTGATTAACAACGACACCTCCTCCCCCTCCCCAATCTCTGATTTGCTAAACATTCAATAAAAAACTGAAGAAAATGCCCAAGTGATCCTTCCCTCCCCCTTTTTTAATAATAATTCTGAAGTTTACCTTCTTTTCGTCATTGTTTAAATGTATGTTATAAAAATAAGTATTATGACATTTGTGTTTTTCAGAAAATAATATTAATGATGGCTTCTTATATAGCGAGCATGTTCATAACAATGCCATGCTGGAGTTAGAGTTAAAAGTGAATGAACCACTAAACCACGACACTTCCACAAAATATAAAAGTAAAACATCTCATTACAACTTTGAACCAATATAAATAATAATAATAAATAGTTTGTTCTTTTATAGCGCATTTCGGGACCGCAGACCCTCTCAAAGCGCTTTAAGGATACATTTTAAACATCAGAATCACCCCTCCAATAAAATAAAATAAAATTTGTTTAAAGCCCCACTGTCCTACTTGTAGCTACTTGCTCCCTCTATATAGAAACAATGCCTAAGCGGTGCCCGTTGGTCCCCCATGAACCTCTTTATTCAAAATGATTTTGAATTTAATTGAATGTTAATTGAGAGCTGAGTTGATGAGATAGCCACATGTCAGTGACCTCTATGGGTGGTCTAATCCCCCTGGCCAAACTAGTACAGATGGGTTTTAAAGCATGAGTAAGTAGTAGGTCTATAATACCTTGCATGTCCCATGTGAGCTGCGTCATAGACGGTGGGTCCACAGCTGTACCATGATACCCGCTTGCCTTCTTGGGGAACGAACAATTCTTTCTGTCTGGTTAGACTGTTGAAGTGGCGAAGCTGAGCCTTCTGGGCTCCGCTTGGGGGCTCCCATTCCGGCTGACAGCGCTTCTTTCCTGCTTAAAAAAAAAAGGAAAAAACGTATCAGGGCATAGCTTCAAGAAACCATCTGAATGAAAACTGGAAGAAAAAAATTAGGGTTGGTAAAAGCTTAAACTACATGAAACAAAACCACTTTCTCCAAGAAGAAGCTTTAAAAAAAGAGGGGAAACGGAACATCTAAAAAACATTGACTGCATTGTTTAGTTAAGATTGCTTTAAAGACGCACTTTTATAACATTTAATTCATCCATTTTTGTCTGTTACCCAGTACATCTTGTCTTTGTATTCTGTTGTGTTTTTCTCTAGAGCGCTTAGGGACATGTTTTAATATTATGTGCTATGCGCTATACAAGAAAGGTTAATTATTATTATTATTATTATCAGCGGATAGCTTCAAGAAACCATCTGAATGAAAACTTGAAGAAAAAAAAATTTAGGGTTGGTAATTAAAAGCTTAAACCACATGAAACACAACCACTTTCTTCTAGGGATATTTCTTTGGAACCACTTCTATCTTTACAGATGGGACAGAGCCCCCGAATGCTCTCCTGTTTTAGCGATTTAGAACCTTCTTAGTTCACTGACCAACAATGGCACGACACCTAAGCAAATCAAATGTTTGGTCTCATGAGTCGAAATCTCAGAAGATCCTCCCAAAAGTTACGGCAACAAGCTTATACGTCCATTGTCCGACTCCATGTTGAGTATTGTGCTACAGTATGGAATCCATCAACGAAGAAAGACACAGCCAAAATTGAAGGTGTTCAAAGACGTGCAGCACGATTTGTCCTTCAGAGATACCACCATACTGAAAGTGTGTCTGCCATGATCAATGACCTTAAGTGGGATACCCTGGAGGAACGTCGACATGCTGCATGCCTAACCCTACTGTACAAGATTCAACATGGCCTCGTAGCAATAAATCCAGATCAGTATGTGACACCTGTGATTCAGAACAACACCAGGCAATTCCACCCGAATAAATTCAAGCTAATCACTGCCCGTACTGAGCTTTACAAACACTCTTATTTCCCACGGACAGTTGCAGCATGGTACATGCTCCCTCTAGATATCTTGGTTTCTGCAACAGCGAGCCCTATTCCAGAAACGCCATTGATGGCTGAGAATTGTTTTTACTTGCACCCTGTACATAATACACCAACTGACTGCACTGCACAAGAGCACCTTGCCAGACATTTCAACCTTGACGTTATATCCTGACTGATGGATCCTGTCAAGTACCGACGTAGAAGTAGAAGTTGAGCGATTAAAACTCTAAGGACAATTTTATAGAACAAAGCCAAGGGTTGCCTTTGACTTTGAAACCACTTCAAAGTTCTATCTTTTTTTCGCCATGCCACAGATTGAGTCTGGTCACAAAAAACTTTGCGCATTGAGCGCTGTCCAGTGAGTTTACGCACTCTCATTGGCTGATCTGCTCGAGTGGCTTAAGCGCAACTTAAGTTCAATGACAAAGTCAATACCTATTTACGTCACACCACAGAGGTTTTGACATGTCATGCTTTCAACAGGTGTTGCACACACATAAAATAGAAAAATCAATGAACATCTCAGAATAAATATGACGAAAATGAGAATTGTTCAAACTTGAAAAATAGTTAAGTAGTCCAAGACTTAAACTTAAGTGAAATACATAATTGAAAAAATCATAACAAATAGACTCTAGAGGGTTTGACTAAAATATCATGATTTTGGTATTGAAAAAACGGAAAATCGCAAGCTTGCTCCTCGCACAATTGCACAAACAGCATTGAGTGAATGGAGAACAGCGATAGCCAATGAGAAGGGCCCTTGTCGGCGCCTATTTCATAAAATGAGGCTGGGATTTGCCGAGATCGGATGAACGATCTGCCATACGCTAAGTGTAAGCTAAATTTCTATGTCCTAGGGGCACCGGCAGAGCCTTTGCCCATGCAGGATGTAGGGTGCATGCGTGCGGAGCTCCCTGATTCCATGAAGTTCTTCAATTTCTAACAATTTAGAAAATTCAAAATGGCCATCACGGATGATAAAAATAGTAATTTCCTTGTTGAAAATTAGACACCCTTTCAGTATCAGTTTTGTATCTATTCATTTTAGTACACTGGTTTTAGAAATCATCATCTCTCGACTTGAGCTTTTGGGCTTGCATTGACTTGAGAATTGGGCTCACTTTGAAAGTTTGACTTAGTTTGAGTTTGACTAGTTACTTTGATTGAGTCTTGCCATTATTCTTTCTTTCTTTCTTTCTTAAGTTTACTCTACATCTGTTTTTAATCATATGAATTCATCTTACCATCTGTTGACATAGTTCAGCTCTCGTTGCCTTCAAAGTTCAAATACTGAATCTGATGTCCACTCTTCAGCGTCCAGAAAACAAGATTTATGGTAAACAAATGTTGAGCCACACCAAAACGAATAGGTGGTACACGTGAATTGCACTGCTACACAGCTGTTCCCGATTTCTGATCTGATCACACACGTATACAAAATGTACACAAAATGTGGATGATGAAATACCCACGAAACTAAGAAAGGGACAAGCCCCTAGACGACTCTATTAAATTTAAAGGGGTGTTAATAATTTCAAATTATTAGTAACATTATCATAATCGTATGACACTATCTTATTGAAGTAATAATACATATTTAATTCACAATTTTAAAAGACAAATCTACTGGTTTGTCTTTTTCATGAAGAAAAAAAAATCAATTAAAGTCTTTGAAACATCCCTTATCCCAATCGGTCTATACATTGGTCTCAACCTTGTTGTTGTTTTAGTTTTAAGGGCGTCTAGTCTTAAAAAGCTACGTATGTCTCGACCAGGGCATTAAAAAGATATCGCTATTTCAATTTTTGAACGTAAAATAGTTGATGAATATCTAAAAATGGCTTCAAATTTATTATTTAGAATTTAAGATTTTTTTTTTTAAACTTAAAAGATGAATCATGATTTGCAGTAGTTCTCATAAGTGTGCACAAAGTGTATAATGACTCGATGGTAAAGACTATTCGATATACGCGGGAAAATCCGAAAAAAAACGCGCCACACACGTACATTAAGTAAATAGAGTTCATATCGAGGCAGAACTGCAGAGAAAAGTCTCCAACACCTTTTCAAAGTTTGCAGTTGTCGAAGGGTAAGTCAATAAAATATGCTCTGCTAGTCTAGGTGATAACTTGGAGAAGATATAAAAGATGGGTTTGTTCGACAGGTTTCGTCATAAATTCTGTTTTTGTCATAGTCTAGATCTAGATCATTAGAATTTAGGTCTAAGTTAGATTCAGTTCGTCTGATCTGAAGTGAAGTGAAGAGTGAAGCTGACCCGTCGCGCGTCGCGCCTAAGCTAGCTAGCTAGCTCTCGCCTCTTTGTCGGGCTCGGGCTTCGCTGTCGCCAGAATTTAGCAGGTAAGGGATTGCTGCAGCTGCTTTACATGGTGGAGATCAGGCAATCATGCAGGGCTCAGGCGATAGGACATGCATTTTTCATTGCCTGGCTTGTTTACCTGGTTTTGTGTGCTAAACCCTTCCTATCTACAGACATTGCACACATCCTATGCAGTCGACTAGACTCTAGTCTAGTCTAGATCTAGACCTAGACTATGTAGATTCTAGGCCAAACGTTAATAGTCTAGACCTCTAGATCTAGATCTAGATCTAGATTATGTGCATTGCCAAATTGGTCAACGTTTTTAAAAATAAATTTAGATTCAAACCTTTATCTAATATCTGTTGTGATCCTGAACTGCTGAAGGAGATACTCAATAAATGATGTGTCATATGAAAGAGGAGATTAATCTCCATAATTTCCAAAGCCAAGGGGTGTCATTTCAGTGATTTCCGATTTCTAGATCTAAAAAAACTCGCGCTTGTTCAGAAACGTATCCAAAATTTGACCCGTAACACCGGTGTGGAGATATGCCCTACTAAAACATAGGCCTACCCAAAATGAAATAAATAGGCCTAGACTATTCATTAAATATCCAAATAAAGATCATGAGTTAAAAGTTGATATAGATCTAGATCTAGGTGTATGTTTAATAGTACCTGTTTCGTGTCAATTTTCTTGTTATTTGTGGAGTATTTTTCGGACAAACGATGATATTAGTAATAGTATTTTAGTATACACTTTTTCTCAGGTTTCACGGCAAACTGCTGCACAATACAAGTGCATACCGATGGTGGGTTGCGGGCGGGCGCGCGACTGTGTGAAGTTATCTACTCAAGAGGGTCGTGGTTGAGGGGGAAAAAAAACTTTTTTTTTTTTTAGTGCTCACTATATCACCCCTGAGATTGATCAAAGGAAGCAGACTGCACTAGATCTATAGAAGAAGAAGGTTGATGAATCAATCTTTTTTTTAAAGTACGACTTTGACCATACACTGTGTAAAACTGTAAAGAGTCTGCCGGTAGTCTAGGGATTGAGTAACTTAGTCTCAGATTCTGAAACTAAATTCTGGATTTAGCTCATGCTGCTATGATAATTATAAACCTTTAGGTCTGTCAGGAGCCCGATGACCTTTACAAGCCGAACGCCTGTCTGATTATCGAGATATTATAATTGGAAATCAAAATTAAATTTTGTGTTTTCCCAACGGTTTTCATAACACTACAGTCTATTGGGGAAAACAAGTATGGTAAAACTGGTCACTCAAAGATTTTTACTTTTTTGAGGCACTTTGTGATCATGTTGAAGCACAATTCTTTTAGAGCATCAATACTACACCATATAACAGACACTGATACCACATAGGGCCGTGCATCTTAGATTTAACATTTTTAAACGGTGCCTTTAAAACATTAAAGAGACCTAATTATTAAATACCTTTTTGCAGGATACCTTATTCAGAAGATTATGTCTGTGACTGACACTCCTCTCCAAACAATGGACACCAATTTGAAAGCAGCCAAAGAGAATGGCATCACCGCCTCGACAGAGAAAATGGACTGTGAAGGATTTATGCCACCCCCTCCGAAACATGATGAAGACCAGTACCTAGACCTAATCAGGCACATCCAGGCCCACGGACATGTCAAGGGCGACAGGACTGGGACCGGAACCAAGTCTATCTTTGGTGCACAGTCGAGATACAATCTCAGAGGTATGAGTGTAACCAGGGCCCTGATTCATAAAACTTGTTGTCAATAACAAGTTACAAGCTACTGTTATAAGCTACTGAAATCATGGCATCTGATTGGCTGAGAGCAAATTTGTCATAGAAATTTAGCAGTTGTTATAGATAACAAGTTTTATGAAACGGGCCTCTAGGGTCTCTTTCTCAAAGCCGTCGTTTAAGTTTTAAGTTCATGAAAATCCCATTGAGGTATGATAATTAACTCTTATCGTGCCACAAGTACAATCCCCATTGTGCCAGGTTGTTTTGGAGATAATCTGATTAACGCGAAGGTTCTATGAATGGTGAGTGCAAAACACACAGCACAGCCCAATGAGCATGAACAATAACTGCTCTTACGAAAGCGCCCTTGCACGCACATGGCACTCAATAGGTAGCGTGCATGCAGCCTCATGGCAGGATATGGGTTAATATAACCTGGGGGGGGGGGGGTGTTTCACAAAGATCCTAAGTTGGACTTAACAATTGTGGAAGGCCATTAGCATCCTTGAAAATATTTTGTAAAAGATATTTCAAAAGGCATAAAATGTTGATTCAATTTCAAATCATTCATATATTCTATTATCATGGGAGATTTTATTTTCTTGATGTGGAATTTATGAAAAGTCTAAAATACTTGAATTTGTGCTTTTGAATATTTATTTCATTATGAGGCTACAAATGGCTCTCCGTAATATTAAAGTCCAACTTAGAGTTAAGTTTGACTTAAAATTTTTGTGAAACACCCCCCGGAGTCTCTTTCTTAAAGCCGTCATTTAAGTCTTAAGTTCATGAAAACCCCATTGAAATTTCTATGAGCTGTCCCAGAACCCCTTTTGACGGTTTCATGAAACTTGCCCCTAATGAATATAGGCTATAGTCCTATACAATAAATGCAAGGTTTCCTTAGTCAAAGGGGTGTTAAATCACTTAAAAAGAGCAAAACTTGTTAAATCAACAAAAAACAAGTATGGAAATAGGCCAAATCTCTTTCAGTACTTAAAGCTAGCTAACCTTGAGCTCTGCATGGTATGGGAATTGTATTTTGAGAGAAAATTTGCTATGATTTATTCTGGATTGTTTAGCCTGCAGTAGATTGGTTGTTTAAACCTTTGAAATAAAAAGAAACGCACAAAAACTTAATGGGCATCATCTTCTATGAAAACCACAACTCCCATTTGCACATACAGTGACCTGTGTTAAGCACATGGTGTCGGTCCCACTTATCCAGATTTTCTTCTCTTTCTATGCTCATAGTGTAAGGGATTAAGTAGAGCCATACATGTATATTTGCCAAGAACACACCGGTACAAAGTTTGTTGAATAAAAGTTTGTTTAATAAAAAGTTCCATGGGAAGCATATCTACCAGGGGTGCCAAAGTAAACTTTTGCGGATATTGGGTCAGAACAAATTGTTTCTTGGAGCACGAAGGACAAACAGGGTGTTGAAAAGAGTAAGGTGTGATGATTTCTATAGCTTTGTCAGGATCCAAGGAATATAACAGTCTGCTGTTTGCAAAGACCTGTACATTTCTCTCTTTCAATTATTTTCTTTTGGATTCCGTGATAATAATAATAATGATAATAATTGATAATATTGTTAATGATAATAATATGGTCTAGGCTTAACTGAGGAAAGTGCCCCCCCCCCCTTCTTGCTTAAAGAGGTTCGCTTATAAAAGAAAGAAAAAAAGAGCCATCCAAGGAGGAGAATGCTCCGTCTGATATAACAATGCAACCATGCAAACAACATGTACATTATGTACATGTATGTAGGACACGGCGACACAGTTATTTGTGAAACCGTTTCAGTGTTCAAAACTGTACCTGAAACCTTATTTTCAAACAGAAACATGCAAAAATTCTCCCTATCCTTGGAAAAGGGACACCAGAGGCGGTGCTCCTGGGGGGCAGGGAACACAGTGCCCCATCATCTTTTCAAGTACTCCAAGAATGCCCCTTTTTACATAGGAAAACTGCCCCCCCCCCCCCCTTTTACTCAAATGCTCTGTTCTGTAAAATAGATACCTGTTACACATACTTGTAAGTGCCGTCTGACCGTCTGTGATAATTGCCCCTATGTAAATCTGAGAGGTGCCCCTTTTTACTTTGACAAGTAACCCATTTCCTTTGTAAGAAGTTACCCTTTCCCTTCTAGTAAGTGCCCCTCTCACCTCCTAAAAGTGCCCCTTTTTATTGTGATAACTGCCCTTTTTTGTAAGTTAATAGCCCTTTCCCCTTGTCATATTATATGCCTCTTTTCACTTCTTTTTTCCAGACAGCGCCCTTTTTGTTTGTGCCCCCCCCCCCCCTGGGGGACACCCCCTCTCAGACCATCCCCTCCCCACTAAAATCCTAATCATGGGCCTGATATGGTTAATTTATATATACTGTACTATGCATTACATAATACAATTTGATGCTCTTTACATTAGATACAATCGGACAACACATACAGAAAATACTTCGCATATATTCTACAATACTAAGTTACTGACCTCATCTATTACATTCTTTTTCTTCTTCCTCTTCTGTTTTATTTGAGGGGGGATGTGTCCTACTTTTCAATATCATTGGAATACATGTACATTTGTAAAAATACAGATCTAATACCTAGTACATGGACATCTATTGTAATTGAATTATATGCTTTTGAGATTGACCTACACATTATTCCTACCGCTGTTATCTATCCGTTTGAATTTGTACTTTTATTTGAAATCCAACCTCAAGTTTTGGTTACAATTAAGAAATAAATAATAATATTTATACACTGTAACCTGACAGAAAAACAAATGTTGAACAGAGTACTAGCTGGGACGGGTTGTTGTGTAATGGTGGTGGTGGGAGGGGTGGGGGGGGGGGGGGTGATAATTCTTTGTTTTCCTTTTCTCCAAGAATCTTTGAGAGCTTCCAGATCTCAGTTGCTCACTTCTCCTGTGTATATTCCCTTTTTGTTCACTTTCATCTTTTCACTTTCAGACCAATTCCCTCTCCTGACAACCAAGCGAGTGTTCTGGCGAGGAGTGGCCGAGGAGCTGCTCTGGTTTGTCACTTCTCCTGTGTATATTCCCCTTTTATTCGCTTTCAGACCAATTCCCTCTCCTGACAACCAAGCGAGTGTTCTGGCGAGAAGTGGCCGAGGAGCTGCTCTGGTTTGTCACTTCTCCTGTGTATATATTCACCTTTTATTCACTTTCATCTTTTCATTTTTAGACCAGTTCCCTCTTCTAACAACCAAGCGAGTGTTCTGGCGAGGAGTGGCCGAGGAGCTGCTCTGGTTTGTCACTTCTCCTGTGTATATATTCACCTTTTATTCACTTTCATCTATCCACTTTCAGACCAATTCCCTCTCCTAACAACCAAGCGAATGTTCTGGCGAGGAGTAGCCGAGGAGCTGCTCTGGTTTGTCACTTCTCCTGTGTATATTCCCCTTTTATTCAATTTCATCTATCCACTTTCAGACCAATTCCCTCTCCTAACAACCAAGCGAGTCTTCTGGCGAGGAGTGGCTGAGGAGCTGCTCTGGTATGTCACTTCTCCTGTGTATATTCCCCTTTTATTCACTTTCATCTTTTCACTTTCAGACCAGTTCCCTCTCCTGACAACCAAGCGAGTGTTCTGGCGAGAACTGGCCGAGGAGCTGCTCTGGTTTGTCACTTCTCCTGTGTATATATTCACCTTTTATTCACTTTCATCTTTTCATCTTTTCATTTTTAGACCAGTTCCCTCTCCTAACAACCAAGCGAGTGTTCTGGCGAGGAGTGGCCGAGGAGCTGCTCTGGTTTGTCACTTCTCCTGTGTATATTCCCCTTTTATTCACTTTCATCTTTTCACTTTCAGACCAGTTCCCTCTCCTAACAACCAAGCGAGTGTTCTGGAGAGGAGTGGCCGAGGAGCTGCTCTGGTTTGTGAAGGGTTGCACCAATGCTACGGAACTCCAGGATAAGAAGATCCACATCTGGGATGCCAACGGTTCTAAGGACTTCCTCGAGAAGAGAGGCCTAGGTCATTACGAAGAAGGTAAACATGACATGGTAATCGGACATTGCTCCAGCAACATTCGATCTAGGGTGTGTTTTACAAAGACTAAGATCATTTTTAAGTGGGACTTTACTACTGTATGGCATCAAATTCATAAGAGGCACAAATAATTAAGATGTTAACTGTATATATGTAGGGTTGAGGGTTCAAATCTCAACCCAATGTGCTTATATCGCCCAAGTGATTATTGAAGAAAAAAATCCTTGTTATGTATTAATTTATGTTGAAAGTGTATCAATCATCTACAAATAAATTGGGTTTGGATGAGGGGTATGACGAAATAAAGATAGCATGAAAAAGAGTCTTGCTTAGTGTCCGTGTGGGCTCTATTCTATGCCATGTTTTCTTTATTTTCTTCATACGAGTACGTTGAGTAGTCTACTCACAAATAGCTGTTATTTTAATTGGGAGTATACTTCTGGAACAGAAGTAGTATTAAAAGGTCATATTTTGAATATAGTATTACCACATGGAACTACTATCTTCATACAGAAAAACATTTTTTTTGGTGGTTGTTTTACTTTAAAGTATTGCCCCCCCCCCCCCCCCCATTAAAATCCTACATATGTTTCATGTTAAATTTGTTTGTATAAATTTCAGGGCGGCGTACAAAGCCTTTTTTCAATGACAAATAACCCAAATCAGTGACACATCTGCTGATAACCAAACAGAAGCAAGGATTTCAGTAGCTTATAACACAAATTGTCATTTGTCACTGATGACCAGTTTTATGAAACACCCCCCAGGTGATCTTGGTCCAGTCTACGGCTTCCAATGGCGTCATTTCGGTGCTGAATACAAGGATCGTTTTACTGATTACACCGGGCAAGGTGTGGACCAGCTCGCTAACGTCATCGAGACGATCAAGAACAACCCAGATGATAGAAGGATTATCATGTCTGCTTGGAACCCTCCAGGTTAGAATCTCTCATTTTTCTTACTACCTTTTCTTATTTTTATGTTACATTTCCTCATTTTCTTTTTCCAATTTCTTAATTTTCTATTTTTTACCATTTTTTCATTTTTTGTTACAATTTATAAGTTTTATTTCCATTTCTCAATTTCTGTTTCATTTCCTCAGTTTTTTTTTCTTTCTTTGTTTTTTCATTTCATTCTTTTCATTTTTCTCCTACAATTTCTTCAATTTTTTTTATTTTTTCAGTTTTTCATATTTTGTCACAATTTCCTTATTTTTCTTACCATTTCTCATAATTGTTACAATTTCTCATATTTGTAACAATTTCTCATGTCTGCTACTATTTCTTATATTTCTTACCATTTATCCTTTTGCTGCTATATTTCTCTATTCTTTCTTTTCTTTTTTTTTATGTCTATTTCTTTCGTCACTTGCACCTTCTCTGTTTTCCTAAAGTGTATTACTCGCCTAGGAAATGATTTGCCCAGAAGGATCGAGTTCAATGAATATGCAGAATGACTTTGCACAAAGAACCTAAGTTGGGCATACATGTTTATGCACAGAGGAGAAAGTGCCTATAATAATAACGATAACAATAATGATGATAACGATGATAATAATAATGATGATGGTGATGATGACAATGCATATAGCACATTCTCGACATGATCAAAAGCACTTTACAACTATGCTTTTAACAGAAGAGGTGAGCTTTTAGATATTTTTTAAGAATGCTGGTTGCAACAAAATCTGGAAAGGCCATTTCTTTAGTGCAATAGAGGCACAAACAAACAAACTAATTCAGAACATAACAAATGAATGAAAGCAATACATTTACCTGAAAGTGAAATTTTGGGTCAATTTGATTTCTTTTTATAAGTCAATTCATTGCACTGGAGCAAAGAAAGTAACAAGTTTGAATTGTTCACTGTCACAGATCTGCCCAAGATGGCGCTACCACCCTGCCATGCTTTCGTGCAGTTTTATGTCTGTAACGGGGAGCTTTCCTGCCAACTATACCAGAGATCGGGAGACATGGTGAGTGGTCTTTGACTCTTTGCATAAACTAGGTCACTACTGGTCAGGCCTTACAAATGATAACGATACAAGGCCTCTTTATGCTACATTAACATTATTGGTTTTGTCAATCAAACAGTATGGACTCTGACTCTGACTCCTCAATGATACTTCTTGTAATTGGCCTACAAGTCAGTGTGCAGACTTGTAGGTCCATTTCTTCTGGTGTTGGCGATTTATGACGTTCTGCACATGCAAACTGACCCCCGACTTCCTTTAACTCATATTCTGCCATTAGACTGCATGCACGCTACCCTTAGTACTTTGTACATGCGAGCACTATCAGTTGGCTGCCTCATTCACGCTTTGCTGCTTTATGCATGCTTGCTCGCATTCGTAATAGCAGTTATTGTTCATGCTCATTGCACTGTGCTGAGTGCTTCCCACGCTCTATTGATCGCACCATCAGATTATCTTAAAATAAACTTGGCAAAAGGGGGATTTGCGAGAGATTCGCCAGAAAAATAACTATGTTTTAGTGCCGTCACAATATGAACCATTCCTGCCCAAGGAGAAGACATCCTATAGAGAATGAACATAATTGCAATGCTATTATTTCTCAAATTATAATGAGTTTAGTGTATATCAATGTGATGGAATTTTACACCATTCAAAAAGGGATATGACCCCGATTCTGATAACTAAATTCTTTTTTTTTGTAAATACACAGGATAGGGGTTAATAAATAATCAAAGAAACCACACTTTCAAATTTAAAAAAAAAACACAGAAATTTATGAGATGTCATGGGACATCGTCTGCTTGTGCAAATCATGTTCAACATGTGACGTCACACGTCTCAGCAGCAATCGGAGAGCTTTTCAGTTGCTATGCCGGGGCTGCATTTAAGCGTTTTGTAATTGATAATAATCATTACTTCAAATGTTTTCAAGCACTGAATTTGTATAACCGTTGTCCAATCAAAGTTTTTAAAATCAATGAATGAACCTTCTCTTTAACATTTATTTGTTTGTTTTTTTAAACTCCAGGGTCTGGGAGTGCCCTTCAACATCGCCAGTTACTCTCTCCTCACATACATGATTGCTCATGTGACTGGTCTCAAACCAGGAGATTTTGTGCACACCTTGGGTGATGCGCATGTGTATCTCAATCACATCGAACCACTCAAAGAACAGGTAAGCGACTGGGAATACAAGACTAGCTACGGGTTTGAGAGGAACGATTTTGTCAAACCTCTCTCCAATACTATTTCACCCTAAAGGGGAGAGGGGGGATGAGGACTGGCCTTTTCTTAAGCCTTGTTGAAATATACATTTATTTCCGCGCAAAAGAAAAAAGGCAATCACATTACCTGAACAGAGAAATGGGTATATGGGACTGCAAACACATTACCTGAACAGAGAAATGGGTATTTGGGACTGCAAATACATTACCTGAACAGAGAAATGAGTATATTGGACTGCAAACACGTGACCTTAACAGAGAAATGAGTATATGGGACTGCAAACATGTGACCTGAACAGAGAAACGGGTATATGGGACTGCAAACACGTGACCTGAACAGAGAAATGGGTATATGGGACTGCAAACACGTGACCTTAACAGAGAAATGGGTATATGGGACTGCAAACACGTGACCTTAACAGAGAAATGGGTATGGGACTGCAAACACGTGACCTGAACAGAGAAATGGGTATATGGGACTGCAAACACGTGACCTGAACAGAGAAATGGGTATATGGGACTGCAAACACGTGACCTGAAAAGTTTGGTCCAAACTTTTCAGCTTTATATCTCATGATTCCCTCGATATTTTGGAAATGAGACCATTTGAAGTTCGATACTTTTCAGGGGAGATTTCCTTTCAAATTGACAAACGGTGAATAAGAAACCTTACAAATTATTCTTCATTGTAACCGGTTAAAGGTTTTGGGAAATTTTGAAAATTGGGTGGATAGTGAATCTTTACAATTTTGATAATTTGGATGCCCCTGTGGATGTGTTATAAGCACTAAAAAATTTAGCCCCTAAAACACTTCTGTTTTCGAGAAAAATTAAATATAAAAATTTACCGGTGCTCCAGGTAAATTTTGATAAATTTCAAATAGCGCCTATGGCCGTACAATGGTAGCTGCGACCATGAAAATCTCAGAATATGTAGTTGTGATATATAATTTCCAAACGGGAATAGCTAATCGGTCGATTTTAGTCAAGAAACATTGTTTCATAGCTAAATTAATATCTTGGCCTTGAGAGGGAGCTATACAACATAAAGAGTTTATTATTTATAATTTCATAACTTCACACTCAATTTCAACCGCGACAACGATCAATGAATATTGTAGGAACGCATATGCTTTTAATATTTTATTTTGAACCGAATTCATGACCCCATACCAAAACTTTGTATTACCTTTAACCTTCTCATCGTTTAATTCTGTAACTTGATCTGTTTTCTTCCACACAGCTGAAGCGAGTTCCCCGTCAATTCCCCAAGCTCAACATCACGAGGAAGGTCACCAACATTGACGACTTCAAATTTGAAGACTTTGAGATCGAGGGATACAAACCATACCCAAAGATCACTATGCAGATGGCTGTGTGAGGGTCATTCACAATGACAGTGTGAAGGTCATGCTCAATGACATTGAAAGTCAAGGACAATGATATTAAACATGCATGACATGCACAAGGACAATTGAGGCTCATTTTGATATGAAGCATACCATTCATGCATCAAAACTGTATCGTATCTGAACCAGCCTTTAAAATGCATGTCTTACTGTAGCATCATGCTATGAATATCCTGCTGATGAGAAGGTGCACTATATTGAATTGAACTATCACCCAATCTTGATTTTTTTTTTTAATACATACATGTACATAAGAGATTGGTGCCAATTTTGATTGTCTGTATGGTACCGTCAGTGAGGTATTGTCTATTGATATACATGTAATACAAATCTATACAAATTCTGTTCGATGCCTGGGAATTAGTTCAATGTTTGATATATCCGTGCTCTTGTTGAGGCTGCCTGCATCTTTCGTATGAAGCTGTCAGGCTGAGTATGATAGGTGCAAAAACAGCCTCAAAAAGAGTTGGTAGATCTTGTACTGAATGAATAAAAAAATGCATTATTTGTTTTATACAACAAAAACTCATTGATCCTTGTTATTTGAGGTAAAAAGAATCCATTCCAAGATTGTTTTGTGTCATTATCGCTGACAAACAAAATCCCAATGTTAATGTGTGCACGTACCACTATAATGGCAGTGTCATGCATATGCAGTATAAGAAAAATATCCTCTGCGCAGACTGCTGTGCATTGCATACTTTAAATTTGTTAAGACACTATTGGAAACTATCGCACGCTTCTTTAGGACAAATAAAAACAGTGCTCGTCTCCGTAAATAAATCGCCCGTGACCGCGTCTAACAGATCATATGATTCGGATCTAGGAGTGAGTAAGTTGTATAATATTTAATGTAACTGTAAAAATAAACATGTATATATCAATGACAATGTTTCATATTTGTGGAGATTCTGAAATGGATGGATTGGAACAGTTTGTCTATAAGACATGAGTTCTCACAGAGAGAAAACAAAACTCATATATTTATATTACTTAGAATTTGTCTTGTATATAGAACTTTTGTAGTAAACATTTTAAGAGTGCTTTTGTATAAAAACCATTCCAATTGCTTACTGATCTTGGATCCTCCACATGCACTTAATCCTTTCGGTGCCTGCCAGCAAGGTTTTCATACTGTATAAGAACCATATGCCAATGCTTTTGCGTCAATATATGTTCAAGGTTCAAGGACAATTTTCAAGATGTTAAATTTGTGTAAAGCCATGCACAACCATTACCAACTATATATTTTTAAATGATTATCATTCTATTTCCATGGATCATGAACTCATTACTGAGTATCACAATAAAAACAAAATTAATCTATTAAAGTTTCCCATTATGATTTAGTGTGGTCTCAAACTGCGCCGCATGACCCAGGTGACGGCTCGTGCTAAAGTGTATGGTTTTCATTTGTGACGTGCGACAGGGCTTACTTCATTGATTTTGACATGCGACATTATGTGCTGGAAATATATTTGTACGTTGTTTAATACGCAGTCAATGAGCGATTATCGCCAGTTGGTCTTTATGTACAGGTTCCCTTAATACACATGACAATGTAAATCGCTATTCCAGGGAGAAAATAATAAATTCTTCATAGACGGGTTGTTCAGATCTGTCTCAAAAAGATGATCTCTAAACTAAAGCAGGTCTGACTGTATTAAACTTTTCAGTTAATGAACGTAAATCACAATAAACAAGACATAAACAATGTATTAAAGGCAGTTGGCAATGGAGATATAAATATGGAAACATGTCTTCCATATATAAGAACATGTCTTCCAATTGTTTATACATCATATAACCATCAGTTAAAATCTATCCTCCGCTTTCGAAATTGAAGAGTAAGTCTACCCTTATTCTTGGCTGTATACTCTTCAACTTTGTTGGACTTACCTAGCCTTGAAATTTGCAAACATGACAATGAAAAGGCATTAATCTACATTAGCCACTCCACACCCAGGAGAGAAATGAGCACTCTGTAGGATGACGAAAGCCTCAGTTTGTAATTGCCATAAGTACTCATGATGACCATATGGTAAGAATACTCCTCAGGTAGTGGAGAGGATGCACATTGTGCGTGAATTAATCCGATGACCGGGATAGTAATATCTGTATATTTCATATTAAGCGCTATTTAAAGGTTCTATGTCCCATTTACAGGCCCAACAAATGAAAAGGTTAAATTTCAACAGCATATGAAAGACGATACTACTTTAGAACTTACCATAATACAAAAGGACTTTAAAATGGATTTTATTGGGAAAATAACGACCATTGGTTGTCGATTCAACTTGAGTGATTGCAATTACCTGAGTAATATTCTGATATTCAGACCCCTTTTCCTGAATGGTCGTACGTCTTGTGCTGCACAAAGATTCAATGGGTTGAATCTGGGCCATTACAAGTAGTGGGTTATTAATGTAGACAAATGCTCATGTAACTGTTACAGCTCATTTTATGTATTTTAGTACCAAAGAAAAAAAGGTGTCAGTCAGTCAGTCATTAGTGTCTAGAAGGTAAACGGGTTTCCTTGCATAATTTGAATAGTAGGACACTGCTAATGTTAAAATTTCACAGATGGGACATACATGACATATTCATGATTCCTGCGATGTTCTACAGAATTTGATGTTGGCTGCAAAAGGGACAGAGTATCCTTAAATCCAGATTATTATTATTATTATATTATTATTCATCATGAAATCAAAACATGAATTTTCTTGGATATTCCAGTAGGGAATTGAAATATCCCTTGAATAGGTTTTTATTTTTAATATAGTTGCAATTGTGTAAGTAATACATTTAAATTCCTGTCTTCAAAACATTTCCAACCATTCCAATAAAAGGCTCTTGTATTGCCAAAATGCCTTGCATTTATTTGTTATACTGTTGATACATATGTACAGTGGCGTACGAAGGATTTTGTTCAAAGGGGGGGGGGGGGGGGGTTAAAATCAAAAGGGGGGTTTTCCAAAAAAACATACATAAAACATACACATAAAAACAACTCGAGGGGGGGGGGTGAACCCCAAAACCACCCCCTGCGTACGCGCCTGCATATGTTTATCAATTTAAAAAAAAAAAAAAACCAACATGTACCTTTTTTTTTTTTTTTTTTTTTTTTTTTTTTTTTTTTTGTATATTTGTAAACTTTAGATTTACACTGTACTTGTATACTTCGGTATATCTTTTTTTGAATGTATTGTGTCTTCATGTGCAGTCAAGGAAAGATCTTATACACTGGTTTACAATGAGAGAGTGAGGAATAGAGGGGGTGGGGGTAGCGGTTAATAAAGAGAGAGGTCATGGAGAGGCATTTTTAGAACGCTTTAGGGAAGTTAGATGTGTGTGTACGTGTGTATCAGTGTATATATGTAAAGGGTTCTAGGACAAATACCTCCTGGACAGTACCCCCCCCCCCCCCGTGGCAATTTACCACATGGAGAATTACCCCCCAAAAAATTACCCCAAGTACAACCACCCCCCCCCCCCCTCCCCCCTCCTCCCGAGGAAAATCCCCCCCCCCCTGAAAATTACCCCCAAGGACAATTACCCCCCCCCCCTTAAAATTCCCCCTTGGACAATCATCCCCCCCCCCCTCCGAGGACAATTACCCCCCGAAAAAAAATCAGCTTTACTATCAGGGTAGACTTCTCCTTTATAAATGAACAAGAGCTAGGTAACTATCCTTGGGGATGGTTGTCCTTTTTTTTTTTGGGGGGGGGGAATGTTCTAGCTAGGTTGTAATTTTTAGGGGTGTGGGTTTATTGTCCTAGGGGGTAATTTTCGAGGGGGTGGGGGGGGGTTCGGTTTAGGCGGGAATTTTTTTTCTAGGGGATAATTTCCGGAGGTTAATTGTCCAGGGGGTGGGGGGGGGTAATTGTTCAGATACGTTTGTCCAGGCGTATAATTGCGATTGCATAAACGAGGAGGCTGATATTCAAATACTCAAAAATTTGTTCGTATGAGCAGAACCCCCCTCTAAAGTGAAAATGGTCAATAATTTAATAAATCAACTGAAAACTATTACAAATTACATTGTTTTGCATGCCCTGTGTAAATCGATATGAATAATAACCATGGATACAAAATTGGAATACGGGCGGGGGGGGGGGGGGGGTGATCACTGATATGGTCCTACGAAGTACGTGTATACATACCCCAAATCCACCAACAACAAAAAAACGCCTTTTACCATATATAGTGGAAAGCATGAAAAACATTTTTGGGTTGTCGTGCAGTTGTAGATACTAGAATCTCAGCAGTATTTAACATGTTTAATAAGAGCAGGGATATGTGAGGTTGGGGAAATATAAAAAGAACAAAAAAAGGAAAGGAATGGACTGGCCACCGGCCATTCTTTCATGTTGTGAACATTTGATGACTAATTACTTTAGAATTTGATAGTCAAAACATTTGTTGTGAAGATGATTAGATATGCCATAGATTGAATTTACAAATGTTCACAGTCGAATTTTTTGTTGTTTAATTACCTGTGAGACTTGTTGTATATCCACTTGGAACTACATTAACATGAGATATGATATGTAAATACCAGGCCGAGCTATGCGGAAGGATACATAAATAAATGGTTCTTACAATATGGCTACTAATCAGTAACTACATCGTCTGCCAGACTCTATTATTTCACCGAGTTATATAACATATTTCAACTTTCGCCTAGCTACTCGTTGCCGCAGTCACCATCAGACTGACGTTTTATTGCCGCTAGATGGGGTAGTACGACAGTCCTCCACTGGTCCTCATACATGATCAGATATAATAATAATAATTGGATTTATATAGCGCCTTTTCCAAAGGTGTCCCAGTCTTATCCTACACTATGCACTTATACTGGAACTGCAAAATTATGCCGTCACCAGCGGCGGAGCGTGAGTTCAGCTATGGGGAGAGGGGGGGGGGGCGTTTGTATCATGGGAACCGAATCCCTTGGTGGATGAAATGTGTTAAAACAAGGCCATCAAGTGAGAGGGGTCCTGCTTTTTAAGTTCGGTCTCCTCTCCCGTTCTTTTTCTCTTTTATCTCTCCTTTTTACTATTTTCCCCCTTGTCACCTTTTGATTGGGGCACATACCCCATAATCCTTGTACTACTGTAGAAACGCCACGAATTCACGAATTACAACATATTTGCGGTAGTGTATTGCTTTTAAATATGGTTTATTTATTTTTATCATTATCTAAACCATGCATACATTGTGTTAATTTGTATTTTCTTTCCTGGTAATCTATTACATAACTTTAATATGATAATCAAATTTTCACATGAACCTTGCCAAACTTTTCGACTACAATAATGTGTAAACAAAATCACGATTAAAATTTATATGGTTCCACGGGAGTAAGCATCATATGAGGATGGGTGGGGGCAGGACCTACGTGCCCTTCAGAAAACAAATCTCATTGCGACACGAAATATGACTCTAGTGATTGTACCATCAGTACATACTTTAGACTCCAAAAGGGCTCCTCTTTAAAAAAAAATTCTTACTTGCCTGTCAAAGATTGTGCCCCATCCCTATCACTGCCAGATAGTAATGGATCCGCAACTGATCCTCAATGAGAGAAACGGACGGGAGACAGTTAGATAACAATCCGATAAAAGGTTAGAAAGGTGTAAAATGTTTTTTAAGCATTGATAGAGCGATCGCAAACTGGCAGCCTAGTGATAGCCTTTGAGGGTTGGCACCTCTGCGCTGATCCACACATTTCCCAAATTCAAATTTGAAATTTCAACATTAAACGCTTTCTCTATTCATTTATTTATATTAAATGAATAAATAGAGAAAGGCTGTCAGGCTGTTGATCTCCCATGGGGTCCTGTGAGAAAAAAACAAATTTGTAAAAACTAAAAATCATGCAGTCAACATCAATCATAATGAAAATAGCAAGTCAGAAGAATACAATTTATACAAAAGTGAAATTCACATGAATAAAATCAAAGCTAAGTTGTCTTTGCAATGTGAACATTTGATTACGAACATTTTCTTGGGATTTGAACGAGCTAACCTTTTTTGGTTTTGTTCATACTGCAGCAGGTTAATCATTCCATAATAAAGAGCAGTCGTAGCAAAGTAAATGCTTCTCGCTGTTGCCGATTTGTGACGTCACATCGATTTTAACTTAAAATACAAAAATGTATCCCTTTATTGTTCATCAGATTTTGTTAAACCTGTCCATTCTTTGCTTATGTCCTTTTTGTTTTGTTTTTTATTGTTGTTTTAGATAAAATAATTTTCGTAAGCACAAAGGCTCTGGCCTTTTGCTACCCAAAGAGTATTATTTCCATTGAATGCTCTTT